ACTCAAGAACCACTTGCTCGTCCTAAAATAACCACGTGGAAGTGTAGGTAGTGAAATGAGGAAGAAGGAGGGAAAAGGGAAGATGGTGAATAGTGACAAATAGCCCTTTTCGTTTGGGAACTATTCACCATCTTCCCTTTTCCCTCCTTTTTCCTCATTTCACTACCTACACTTCCTCATGTCACTTCATTTGCACTTTTTGGCGGAGCTTTGGTAGGAAGCGGGACAATAAAACTCTGCTGCGGGACAGTGGGATGCCACTGATTTTTGCGGGACAGTCCCGCGGAACGGTTGGCAAGTATGGGCACTACACACTCCAGCTATGGTCAATGTATTCAGGACAGTTTGCTTCCCTGTCCTTTCCCAACTTGCTTATTGATAAGTTTAGGATAGGTATTCAGAATGGTTGGCTGGCTTGTTACTTGCTTCGCCAAGCAAAGTTTGATCTCTCTGATGCTCTGTAGACTATATTCTGTGCAAACCGCCCACATGCTTTTCATCAAACTGTAGTAAGACCAATTTCTTCTGCTCAAGCCCTACAAACGTCATACCACCGCTGATCCCTGGCCCTGATAGCCTGGCCCTTGCTTCCTTTGTCTGCCTTTCAGCTAGCAGCAATATACTATATACTTGCTTCCACACCTCTCTAAACGTTATTCTTATATTCTTAGATTATATATATATACTCGTGGGTGGATGAAATACACAACTCTGCCCACTGTTGTAATTGTTATTACGTGCACAGTTGTAAGCAGAAGTCAGAATTTGGCACAGTATAATATACCTAAAATTGTAGTAAATACACTTGTGAATGCAGCCCTGTTTTAGTATCAGGGATTCCCCACTGAAAACAAAAGTGGGTGAAAGTGGGTGTGGAGTGGTGGGTGAGCAGGGCAATAAAAGACATCATGTTGACTTATCATTAAAACAAGCACTGAACAAGATCAAAGACTCCACACCACTTTAATTGCACAATTGCACACTAGCTATATGTACATGCACAAAGACGCTCGAAGTTCCACGACTTAGTTATTTAGAAAATGGCGAGCGGGAGTGAGTTTATGCATGGTTTAGGCTTGGATGGGAAGAGCTTTTGGATCCTGATCCAGAAAGCCAAGTCGATGAGCTGCTGCTACAAGCGTTGCAACAGTATGAAGTGGCAACTGCTGACTTCGAGCCGCCACCGGAGCAGTCATCGAGCTGCTGTTTTGGCCCTTCTTCCCGGTCGACCAAGACGTATTTGCAGCCCTGTCTCAGTACCAGGAATTCCGCACTGAAAAAACGAAAGTGGGTGAAAGTGCGTGTGGAGTGGTGGGTGAGTTGGGCAATATTGTATATTACCCTCGGGGCGCATGCGCAGCGAGGGTATATTATGGGTCTGACTGTCTGTGTGTCTGTCACTGCTCTCTGTGGTGAGGGAAGCAGTGCTGCAGGAATTGGATCCACTACACTGCTCACCACCGTGTCAGCTCTTCTATTTGCAGTCTACACTGCCTTCATGTATAGCTAAAGCAGAGCAGGAACACAACGACTCTGTAGTGTGCAAGATTATTGTGAACACTGAAAAAGAGAACTTTATACATGTGTAATAATATTAGAGTGTGTTATCATTAATTGTAATGGCACAAGTTGTAAAAATTGTAGTATGAAAATTTTACTAAATATCGATGCGACCGATGTGCAAAACACTGCACGTTACTTTTGGCTGAAATAAAAGTCTTGACATTACTTTCACTTGATCTTTGCAGAAGATGACAGAGGATATATACTCAACCTACGGCACTCATATTTGCCAACCATGTATATAAAATTTATTTTACTGGACACTTTGTTCAGAAATGCAGGACATGAAGAAAAATTGCTGGACAGAAAAACACTACAAACACTGTCGATTTTAAATAAGAAACCCATATCACAATGTATGGGGAATGTGCCGGAAATTTCCTACATGTGCAGGAATTTCCGGCAAAATGTAGGAAATTTCCGGCACAACTAAGGAAGCTTTAAATTCTTCCTGCACTTTTGATAAACTCCCTGCGCATGCAGTGACGCGGAAGCATGGTCGGACGCGGGACAATAAAACTCTGCTGCGGAAGTCAAAAACGAAAAGGGCTATTTGTCACTATTCACCATCTTCCCTTTTCCCTCCTCACTACCTACACTTCCTCATGTCACTACCTACACTTCCTCATGTCACTTCATCACTTTCTTCTTGCACCTTTTGATAAACTCCCTGCCATGCAGTGACGCGGAGCGTTGGTCGGACGCGGGACAATAAAACTCTGCTGCGGGACAGTGGGACCCCACTGATTATTTGCGGGACAGTCCCGCGGAATGTGGGACGGTTGGCAAGTATGGGCACTACACACTCCAGCTATGGTCAATGTATTCAGGACAGTTTGCTTCACTGTCCTTTCCCAACTGTGCCCTCCGTTTCACCTCTGACCTCCAGCACAAGCTCAGTGCATCGTAGCCCATCCTGTAATATACCATTGAGCATGGTGCAGTAGACTTAGTAACTAAACTTGTGAAAGCATCAGTATACACAGTACCTTGTCTTAAAATTTTGATTAAGCTGTTCACACTAGCTTAGTTATAATTGACCACTTTTGGCAAGTTTACCATATCCAGTACATATAGCCATTCTTTGGCGAGATATGTGTGAACTGCTAGTCTTATGAAAAGCACTAAAGTGCAAACCCTCGGCTCAAAATGCGCACATTTGTGGTTTTGTAAGCTAGGTGGGCCATTTTTAAGTGGTTCGTATCAAACAGTTATTTCGCTTAGTGTTCGTATTAATGAGGTTCCACTGTAACTACAAAATTGAATATAAGATGAACAAATTGGATGAAGGGTATCTGCTATGAGTTCATTAGTGCTTATCAGAGTAACCAAATTTGTTGCAAGTATACAGTAACACAGTTCAGCTATGAGAGGAGCATTATTGTGCATTGAACATGACGGGATGGAGTGTCTGTGCTTTGATAATTATATAGCTCAGAGGGATCCTTCAACATAGAAATGAGAGTTCTTCTTTAATCCTGGTATGAGATAGATAGCCTGTATAGGAGGGATGGTAATACCGAATTAAAATTGGTCAAGTGATATACATAGAAACATAGCGCTACTCCATATAGTGACTATGTATACCACACTCAAAGGCTCTCACATTCGCTTTTTGCATTCTACTGTGCTTCGTTGCATATTGCCAGACTGGGCTTTACTGCCAGACTGGGTTTTACGCTTAGGATGGGAAGGTACGGCCGCATCCACAAACTGCTGGTCTAACGTGAACTGCTGTGCTACATTGCGGACATTCCTTGCTCAGTTTGTTGTCCATCGAGAACAGAGATCAACACTGACAGAGGAGAGAAACTCAAGAACCACTTGCTCGTCCTTTTGCGTACAGCCTCAGAAGGAGTCTTGCTTGGCATAATTAACTTGCTAAAGGTCCTTGTTTTTATTTTATAATGTGCATTACAGGTGTGAGGGCTGTCTGGGAGTTAGGGGTAACTGGTCTTCCATGCTCTCAATTACATCGTTATTGAGTCATCACATTAGCAACGCAGATCACTTGGTACACTCAACGTGTACGATCTGTTACTAAGAAATCGCAGGCATATCCACACGGAGAAAACTGCCTTCCTGAAAAAACATTTCCAAATACTGCCATTGTTCTTGGTGTGTGTTTATGGGTGTTAAGAGTCACTTACTGTGGCCCAGCATCGCCCAATAAGACCACTGCAGAAACAAGCAACACACTAGCATAACTAAAAGAGCAGCATCTAGAAGGTGAGCCTTGCCTGCCTATGATTGCCACTTTCCCGCTGTCCACCCTCGGTTTCTTGTCCGCTTGCTCCATAGCCCTGGTATGTATATGTACTGTGCAGGTAGCTCCGCCTACGGTGGCTTTCTAGGGCCAAAAATACCATCGTAGAAAACTTTAAAACTTTCGTTTAGAGATTTCCGTTCTAGTAACTTCCATTCTAACCCTCACTCCTAAATGTAGCTAGCTAGCTAGCTACCTAAAAGCTCTAGCTGGCGGGACAGCTGAGGTAGTGTTGTGACGTCATGAAAGCTGCCATTAGTCCGTTCGCCTCAGCATGATTCATGGGTTAATTAAAGGTTTCATCCATCTTTTTGGTCGCCATCCCAAAGGCTACACGATGAAAACTTAATATACACTTGTAGCTCAATGTTCCATAAGTTAGATAATGCTGCGTTGGTAGTGTGGCTACCTGTTGATGTTGGGACAAGGTTTCAGAATGTTGCTTCTAGTATTTCCAACTTCCATTTTGAGCTCACTTCCATTCTGAACCAACTTCAAAGTTAAATTCTCTTCAATCGTAAGCTAAGCTGAAACACCCTGTTTGCTCCAGAGAACTTAGAGGGGAAACTGCTCCTTTAATTCTGCTAATACTTTTGTGGTACACGAACAAGGACCCCCCCATGCCTTTGTATGAAGTCACAGTATAGTGTTAGCCATATGCCACCAAAAGGTAATCAGGTGGGGTTTTCCCTGAAACATCAATCAACATGAAGTCAGTAATCTGCACTGTCCGTTATTGCAACACTAGAGATAATCAGTGCATCTTACAGTACTAGCCTCGTTCCCCAGGCTCTCTCTCTCTCTCCCCTCTCTGCGAACCATGAATGACCTTTAACCCATGAATCATGCCGAGGCAAACAGAGTAATTGGAGCTTTCATGACGCCGCCACACCACCTCAGCTACCCCGCCAGCTAGAACTTTTAGCTAGCTATAGGAGTGAGGGTTAGAATGGAAGTTATAGAACGGAAGTCTCTACAACGGAAGTCTCTACAACGGAAGTTTTGAAGTTTTCTACGATGGTATTTGTGGCCCTACAAAGCCACCGTATTAAAAGCCACCGTATCCCACCCGCGTGTACGCGCATGCGCAAAAGCGGATCCACCGTAAAGCTTGCGCATGCGTTATTTTTGCGTGCGCATCGGCGATCAAGGAAAGCGAGTAGAAGGGGCAATGGACGACTGGCAGAGAGTGTGGGCGCCTCATCCCGAGGAGGGCTACCAGCTGGGACTGATTGTCGACGTCTCCACGGACACGCTCACCGTTGATCCCCTGCAAGGAGGGAAGGTCAGTATTATATACACTGAATGGTGTGTAGCACTACCTACGTGGCGCGTGTTTACGAGTATGGATGCCGTGAGTACAACACTAGTCTCCTGTTGCGCATAGTAGGGGCCGAGATGCTGCGTGTTGGAACGTAGGATTCAAGAATGGTGGTAGCTAATTAGTAGTCGGATCTGGACTTACCCGCGATCATGCCCTGTTATCATTTCCTGTTTTGCAGGGATACAATCTCCTTGCATTAGTGCAGCAGTCTTCTTGACTCTCTACCATGCAATAACAAGAAACTGGACCATTGCCAAAAGACGAAAAAGCGACCGCGCATGCGCAAGCGTGTTAGCACGCTCTCAACTGTGCATTACGCAATTTGACATAGACTGACATGACACAATGTTCATTCCTGTGAACTCTAGTCTCATGCCAAGACCTGTTATGCAATATGACGGTCTGGGTATGAGACTACATATGTCGACACTGGTGACAAATGCTGGCATCCGATTAGAGAAATCCCTTTGTGCTAAAGGCCTATAAAAGCCGACCGTATCCAGCTAGCAAGCTAGAAGCAACCAACTGCAAGCAAAGCTCTCACATTTTTTTACTTGGCGAGCTCATCGAACTACTCGATTGCAGTTGAAAAAAATGAATGCTCTTACTTTTTCTGGAGTGTTTCTTCTTCTGTTCTTCAGCCTCTCCAGTGCTGATAATTGCACCGACTTTACAGATACAAACTCTGAGCTTTTCCGGTGCAATGTCGAACTTGGTCAAAGTTCGAGCTCAGCATGCGAGGGAAACTGCAGGTCTGTACTGGAGCAATACGTGGATGATTGTCTTACTGCCACTGGAGGAGCTGCTGCTGCACAAACCTACAAAGACAGCATCACTGCTCTCTGTGGTGAGGGAAGCAGTGCTGCAGGAATTGGATCCACTACACTGCCCACCACCGTGTCGGCTCTTCTATTTGCAGTCTACACTGCCTTCATGTAGCTAAAGCAGAGCTGGAACACGACTCTGTAGTGAGCTAGATTACTTAGAACACTGAAAAAGAGAACTTTATACACGTGTAGTGGTTTGTAATAATAATTAGAGTGTGTTATCATTAATTGTAATGGCACGAGTTGTAAAAATTGTAGTATGAAAAAGTTACTAAATATCGATGCGACCGATGTGCAAAACACTGCACGTTACTTTTGGCTGAAATAAAAAGTCTTGACATTACTTTCGCTTGATTTGCAAGATAGATGACAGAGGATACTCAACCTGCGGCACTGCACACTCTAGCTATGGTCAATGTATTCAGGACGGTTTGCTTCCCTGTCCTTTCCCCAACTTAAGTATGAGAAGTTTAGGATACGTATTCGGAATGGTTGGCTCGCCTGTCACTTGCTTTTCAAAGGTTTCGCCCAGCAAAGTTTGATCTCTCTCTCTCTCTCTCTCTCTCTCTCGTTCAGGAATTTTTCACTTCTGAGGATAACCCTCAGTGTGCAGGTACACTGCAGTTAGTGTATGTTATGTGTGCATCAGTCAGTTAGTCTGTCTGTCTCACTATTTCTAGCAGCAATATACTACTTCCTTTCACAACTCACTAAATGTTTTTATATATATACTCGTGGGTGGATGAAATACACAACAAACAGCTGCCTCTGCCTACTGCTGTAATTGTTATTACTGCCCACAGTTGTTAGCAGAAGTCAGAATTTGGCACAGTATATACCTAAAATTGTAGTAAATACACTTGTGAATGCAGCCCTGTTTTCCCACTGAAAACAAAAGTGGGTGTGGAGTGGGTGTGGAGTGGTGGGTGAGTAGGGCAATAAAAGAGTTCTTGTTGACTTATCATCAGGGCTCTTTTCTGTTTTTCTTAGATTTTACTCGTGTGTGGATGTTCTGAAGAAATACACAGAAACAGCCGGCTCTGCCCACAGTTGCTAGCATAAGTCAGAATTTGGCACAGTATATACCTAAAATTGTAGTAAATACACTAGTGAATGCAGCCCTGTTTCAGTACCAGGGATTCCCCACTGAAAACAAAAGTGGGTGTGGAGTGGTGGGTGAGTAGGGCAATAAATCATTTTCGTTAGGGACTAATACAAGCACTGAACAAGATCAAAGACTCCACACCACTTCAATTTACTACAGTGCACAGTCGCACACTATACATGCACAAAGACGCTCGAAGTTCCACGACTTAGTTATTTAGAAAATGGCGAGCGGGAGTGAGTTTATGCATGGTTTAGGCTTGGATGGGAAGAGCTTTTGGATCCTGATCCAGAAAGCCAAGTCAACGAGCTGCTGCTACAAGCGTTGCAACAGTATGAAATGGCAACTGCTGACTTCGAGCCACCACCGGAGCAGTCATTGAACCGTTTTGGCCCTTCTTCCCAGTCGACCAAGACGTATTTGCACAAGTTTTTTAGGTATACGTTTAAATTTCACCATTTCCACGTCCTCCAAAGACCGGGGGAGGGCCAAAACGGCTCGATGACTGCTCTGGTGGCGTCTCGGAGTCAGCAGTTGCCACTTCACCTGGTTGTGTAACATTATGAAACATCTGTCTGCCTATTTGGCAACTATGGGTGGGACTACTTAGACTAATTGGCATACTTGGCTGCATAGCGTGACCATAGGGTGTCTTCGTAGCAGGTGTCTTAGTGGACCAATAGATGCTCAAAACAAGCGGCTTAGTGGATAAAAAACCTGATTACGCATTCAACATCAACATGCCATTTTCTAAGAGATGAAAGGCACCTTGAAGTCGGTGCGCATCTCGAAGACGCTCGAATTCCACGTCTTACCTATACATAGAGGGCATTGTAAGGAGGCACGAGTGCAAAAAGTACACCGCTACTCTACTACAGTTAAAAGCTCTGTTTACCTTCCCTCAGAAGGCCTTCCTTTTCCATCACTCTCAGTTTCTCGACCACAGCGGACATGGCCCCACCCAACTGCTCACAGATGACATCATACAGCATCACCGAGTACCCTCCTCTCAGGAACAGCTGCATACACAGTGACAGTGACATGGTTCTTATTACCAGGCTAACTAACACCAGTGTATGTACCCTATAATCAAATTATTCACACACAAACAGTTCACACAAGACTAAGGTTATAATTTGATCATTGGTGGCAAAACTGTGAGAGGCTGGGGATGATAGTCTTCCTAATGGAATTATTTCTGCATGCTTAAAGCTCACTCACGCTGAAATTCGTGTCTTCTTAGTCTCGTAGAATTCACGTTTCATGCACAAACACTAAGCTTACTCTGGTTACAATTATATGAACTGTGAGAGACTAGGGATTATCGTTTTCCTAATGCTATTTCTGCATGCTATACACCCTACTCTGTTTTTAGCATTCTTACCTAGCAAGTATAATTATGCAGAAAAAGAGAGAGTGTATCCAGCAAAGTCAATATACGTGACTTTTGCGTACAGCCTCAGAAGGAGTCTTGCTTGGCATAATTAACTTGCTAAAGGTCGTTGTTTTGATTTCATAATGTGCATCACAGGTGTGAGGGCTGTCTGGGGAGTTAGGGGTAACTGGTCTTCCATGCTCTCAATTACATCATTATTGAGTCATCACATTAGCAACGCACATCACTTGGTAGTATGATCTGTTACTAAGAAATCGCAGGCATATCCACACGGAGAAAACAGCCTTCCCGAAAAAACATTTCCAAATACTGCCATTGTTCTTGGTGTGTGTTTATGTGAAGGAAGGGTGTTATGAGTCACTTACTGTGGCCCAGCATCGCCCAATAAGACACAAGCAACACACCAGCATAACTAAAAGAGCAGCAACTAGAAGTTGAGCCTTGCCTGCCTATGATTGCCACTTTCCTGCTGTCCACCCTCGGTTTCTTGTCCGCTTGCTCGGATCCATTCTACTGCAGCTAGCTCCGCCCACCCGCGTGTATGCGCATGCGCAAAAGCGGAGTCGCCGTAAGCTTGCGCATGCGTTATGTTTGCGTGCGAGGAAGCAAACTCCAGGGAGTATATAGAAGGGGCAATGGACGACTGGAAGAGAGTGTGGGCGCCTCATCCCGAGGAGGGCTACAAGCTGGGACTCGTTGTCGACGTCTCCACGGACACGCTCACCGTTGATCCAGTGCAAGGGGGGAAGGTCAGTATTATAATATACACTGAATGGTGTGTAGTACTACCTACGTGGCGCGTGTTTACGAGTATGGATGCCGTGAGTACAACACTAGTCTCCTACTGTGCATAGCAGGGGCCGAGATGCTGCGTGCTGGAACTAGCTAATTAGTAGTCGGATCTGGACTTACCGGCGATCATGCCCTGTTATCATTTCCTGCTTTTGCAGGGATACAATCTCCTTGCAGTAGTGCAGCGAGTATTCGAACTTTCTACCATGTAATAACTAACACGAAACCTCAGTGGAAGATGACGCGTGCTGTACAGTACGCATGCGCAAAAAGCGACCGTGCATGCGCAAGCGTGTTAGCACGCTCTCAACTGTGTATTACGCAACAGTTCTGAAATTCATAGACTGACATGACATAATGTTCATTCCTGTGAACTCCAGTCTCATGCCAAGACCATGTGAGGGTCTGGGTATGAGACTACATATGTCGACACTGGTGACAAATGCTGGCATCCGATTGAATCCCTTTGTGCTAAAGGCCTATAAAAGCAGACCGTATCCAGCTAGCAAGCTAGAAGCAACCAACTGCAAGCAAAGCTCTCAAATTTTTACTTGGCGAGCTCATCCAACTACTCGATTGCAGTTGAAAAAAATGAATGCTCTTACTTTTTCTGGAGTGTTTCTTCTTTTGTTCTTCAGCCTCTCCAGTGCTGATATTTGCACCGACTTTACAGATACAAACTCTGACCTTTTCCGGTGCAACGTGGAACTTGGTCAACGTTCGAGCTCAGCCTGCGAGGGAAACTGCAGGTCTGTACTGGAGCAATACGCGGATGATTGTCTATTGGAGGAGCTGCTGCACAAGCCTTCAAGGACACCATTGACAGTTTTTGTCCCAGTACAAGCCCTACCAACCCAGCAACTGGCCCAACTTCCACTAACTCAGTTTGCACAGCATTTACCGATGTAGACTCCGAACTGTTCAGGTGCAACGCGGGTCTCACTTCAACTTCGCAGTCGGCCTGCGAAGGTAACTGCAGGTCTGTACTGGAGCAGTACGCTGATGATTGTCTGCCCAATGGTGCACAAGCCTACAAAGACAGCATCACTGCTGTGTGTGATGGTGGTGGGGGAAGCAGTGCTGCAGAGCAGTGCTGCAGAAATTGGGTCCACTACACTGCTCACCACCGTGTCGGCTCTTCTATTTGCAGTCTACACTGCCTTCATGTAGCTAAAGCAGAGCTGGAACACAACGACTCTGTAGTGTGCTAGATACTTAGAACACTGAAAAGAGAACTTTATACCTGTGTAGTGGTTTGTAATAATAAGTAGAGTGTTTGGGTGTAAGGGTTGGGGGGGGGGGTGGGGGGTGGAGGGGGGTTGGGAGGGGGCTGTGTGAATGGGGGGGGGGGTTTGTTAGTTGGGTTGGGTTGGGTGGGGGGAGAGTGGGGAAGTGTTTTGTGAGGGGGTGGGTTGGGGGTGTTTTTGGGGGGTTGTTGGTTGGAGTGAGGGGTTGGGGTCGTTGTTTTTTGGGGGGGTCGAGATGGGGGTTTGGGGGGGGGGGAGGGGGGGCTGGGGGGGCCGGGAGGGGGGGCGTTTGTGTGGGGGTGGGGGTTTTGTTTGGGCCTGGTATTCGGTGGGTTCAGTGCCTGGCACGGGGGGTGGGGGGGGTGGGGGGGGGGTCGGCGGTTGGGGGGCGTTGGTTGGGGGGGGTGTGGGGGCTCCCCGGTTTGCGGCGGGTTGGTGGGTTGCGCGGGTTTGTGGGGGTGGGGGTTGACGGTTGAGGGGTTTGGGGGGTTCGTTGGGGTGTTGTGCGGGGGGGGGTGGGTGGGGGGGGGTTGGGAGGTTGTGGTTCTGTGGTGGGGGTTGGGGGGCGGGGGGTGGGGGGGGGGGGGGTTGGCGGGGGTATGGTTGTTGGTTGTTGGGGGTTGAGGTCTTGGGGGGGGGATTTTAGTGTGTTGTGTGGGTTTTGTGGGTTAGGGGGGGGGGTTGGGGGGGGGTGGGGGGAGTTTTTCGTTGGGGGGTGTTGGGTTGGGTGTCGGGGGTTAGGTTGTTGGTTGGGGTTGGTTGGGGTTGTGTGGTGGGTGTTTGTTTGGGGTTGGGGTTAGGGTGGTAGGGGGGTTTTTGTATTTGTAGTGGGTTGGGGTTGTCTTGGGGGTTATCATATTACTTGTAATGGCACGAGTTGTAAAAATTGTAGTATGAAAATTTTACTAAATATCGATGCGACCGATGTGCAAAACACTGCACGTTACTTTTGGCTGAAATAAAAAGTCTTGACATTACTTTCACTTGATCTTTGCAAGATAGATGACAGAGGATATATACTCAACCTATGGCACTCATATTTGCCAACCATGTATATAAAATTTATTTTACTGGACACTTTGTTCAGAAATGCAGGACATGAAGAATAATTGCTGGATAGAAAAACACTACAAACACTGTCTATTAGAAACCCATATCACAATGTATGGGGAATGTGTCGGAAATTTCCTACATGTGCAGGAATTTCCGCAAAATGTAGGAAATTTCCGGCACAACTAAGGAAGCTTCCTGCACATGTCAAAAATACAGGGATTTTGCAGGAATAATTCCCACACTTTTTTATATCTTCTTGCACTTTTTGATAAACTCCCTGCGCATGCAGTGACGCGGAGCGTTTGTCGGAGGCGGGACAATAAAACTCTGCTGCGGGACAGTGGGACGCCACTGATTTTTGCGGGACAGTCCCGCGGAATGTGGGACGGTTGGCAAGTATGGGCACTACACACTCCAGCTATGGTCAATGTATTCAGGACAGTTTGCTTCCCTGTCCTTTCCCCAACTTGCTTATTGAAAGTACAATAAGTTTAGGATAGGTATTCAGAATGGTTGGCTGGCTTGTCACTTGCTTTTCAAAAGCTTCGCCCATCAAAGTTTGATCTCTCTGGTGCTCTACAGACTGTATTCTGCCCACATGCTCTTTATCAAACTGTAGTAAGACCAATTTCTTCCAATTTCTTCTGCTCAAGCCCTACAAACCTCATACCACCGCTGATCCCTGGCCCTGATAAGCCTGGCCCTTGCTTCTTTTGTCTGCCAGGCACTTGCCCATTCAGCTACCATCACAATAGGTGTAGGACCAAGACCCTGAAAAAGTATGTTCTCATAGGATTTCTGAGCTACATTAATGGAGGTAGGTGTGTCCTATTCTGTGGAAGGCACAATAAGTTTGTTGTTGGTGGGTGAAAACTTTAGATGTTTTGCCACAGTGTGCAGGGCAGGAAGTGGAGCGGTGAGCATTACAGGGTGACCCTGTGTACTGATAATATGCCCAAATTCCCTGTCAGCCACATTTCTTTCTGCGGGTCACCCTTGTGAGTAAGAACAAAAACCAGGGCACACTCACTCAGCTCCACTGGTGGAGTGTAGGGCCCACTCTACTGGTCCTCTGATGTGGTTCCCTGGGTTAATGGATTATTCTCTGCCTCTCCTCTCTTCCCCACTCCTTCCTGCTTCTGCCTTGTGCCCCCTCTTTGCTCCTTCTTTCCCCCCTCCCTTCCCTCTCTCACGTGACATACAAGTAACAAAGGAATGGACTGTGGTAGAGTGTGCTCCTTTCTCCTGGGTTTGTTAAGTATTAGTTAACTATAGGCTGCGAGGTGGTAGAGGTGGTAGAAGTGGTACAGGATTGTACTCAGGATGCTGTAGAGGATAATATCCTGGATATCCTGTACTGGATATCCTGTACTAGATATCCTGTACTAGATATCCTATCCTGTACTGGGATATCCTGGACATAGTTGTTGTGATAAGGACTTCCTGTCCAGGTCAGCCCTCAGCCCAAGCTCAGAATACATAGCTCCTGGGTTGTTTGAAGTTGGACTACAAAGAACAATATTTCATTAGCTGGTATTGGTGCTACTCTCTCTGTTTAGTTTTACTTTCTTGATTTTTATGACGTGCTTCCTTCTCCCCTCCCTCCAAATTGCAGGATTTTCTCAAGTGCACTCCAACCAGATTTGACACAGGGATATCTAGTCGCCTCTCTTCACTTCTTTTTCTAGTCTGTCGAAACCACAACCAAAGATTATACTCTGAGAGTTTCAGGTTTCTCTCTCCTCCCCCACCCCATACTCCATACCCCCATTCTCCCTCAATGTAAAGTTCCTCACCCATTATGGATCACGGTCCGAAACATATGATGAAACCTCGCTCTCCCACCCTCCCACTGTATAAAGTATGGCACACTGTCATTTCTTCCCCGTCCGTATGTTGTACCATCTGAATCACAACTTATAATAGACTTAAGTCCATCTTTCTACAAACTTCTCCAATCACGTTTTCTTGTAGTCCACCACCCATTTTTCATCTGCCATCCCTCACTTTACATGTGTGTGTCTGTGTATTGTACTGTTAGCTAGCCACTCATGTGTCACCTTTCTCTTGGTCTGTAAACACTACACTTTCAGCCATTCAGCAAATGACAGTCTCAATTCGAGGTGTAGCTATCGTTGTAGACTCAGTACGATATGTGTTCTTTCAGGCAGCTACACTACACTGCCAGTGTACACAAGAAAAAAACTACACAAGCATGTTTAATCCAAACAAAATGATGTTCATTTATTTCCAGAGAAGACACACAAAATGCTGACAGGAAGAGGATCAAAACAGCTCCCACCTGACCCCCCTTCGACTCTACTGCTGCATTGACTTGCATATTATGACCAATTTCTGCCCTACAAACGTCATACCACTGCTGATCCCTGGCCCTGATAGCCTGGCCCTTGCTTCCTTTGTCTGCCTTTCAGCTAGCAGCAATATGCTATATACTTGCTTCCACACCTCTCTAAACGTTATTCTTATATTCTTAGATTATATATACTCGTGGGTGGATGCAATTCACAACTCTGCCGATCCTCGGATGTAGTCCCCGAAGCTTTGACAGTTTTCCTCCAGTCATCTGCCGATCCTCGGATGTATATAGTCCCCGACGCTTTGCCAGTTTTCCCCCAGGCCGAGACATGTTTACAGCCTCAATAGACCACCGTCAAGGATTGTATGTACTAACAACCTCAATGGACCATGGCTGGCTCTCAGGTTGTACTGCCCATTTTTAAGTGGCTGCAGAAGAACACCCCTAGAATGAGGACAGATCTTTAATACCTTTAATAAGGACACCTTTTATTTCCCCAAGAACAGTTCTCACAAGCAATTTAACCCCTTAAGGTGAGAACGGCAAGTCTGGTGAGAGGCAAAGACAGCGCTGTCGGCAGCACGAACCAAGGGGGCTACCCGCCATCCCGCCATGACATCCACGTGTTCGTGTCTAGCAGGGCTGAAGTCACTCTAGTTGACTTGCCTGTAACCTCATACCACCGTAGATCCGGGTTGCGGGGGCGATGCAGAGGTGAGATACCATCACAGACTGTCGGCAACACGAACCAAAGGGGCTACCCATCCCACCGTGACGTCTACCCCCCCTACGAGCCGCGCGTCTGTCTACCCACATGTATGCGCATGCGCAAAAGCAGAGCCGCCGTCAAGCTTGCGCATGCGTAATATTTGCGTACGCATAGCCCTAGCTAAAGAGAGCGCGGTGTTGTGGGCGGCGATCAAGGAACAGCTCCAGGGAGTGGAAGGGGCAATGGATGGCGGGCAGAGAGTGTGGGCGCCTCATCCCGATGAGGGCTACCAGCTGGGACTCATTGTCGACGTCTCCACGGACACGCTCACCGTTGATCCGCTGCAAGGGGGGAAGGTCAGTACATATATATACACTGGATCGTGTGTATATAGTATATAACTACCTATTGGGCGCGTGTTTACGAGTATGGATGCCGTGAGTACAACACTAGTCTCCTATGCCAGGAATCACTACTTTGAACAATCCGAGAAAGAAGGCTAGTAGACTATGTTGCAGCCATGAGTGACACTCTAGGTGCATAGGAAGTCAATGTACAGTAGTTCATGGTCCATTGATGAAAGGTGGTGTGCACCCTCGCCCTCCTACATACACTATGGCCATATATTGGTAGCCACAGGAGAGTTATATGTATGTACGTATGGATGTAATACAGTATCTGAACTGTTAGCATGGTGGTTATGTATAACTCTTCATCACTAAAATGACGACACATCACCCTAATTAGTACAACGTTTAGTCCTACCACGTTGCTTTACATGGGTCATCTTCAGGCACAATCAGTGAAATGTTTTCCCTCGGGATTTCTTGGTATACTGTATGTTGTAATGTTTTGTTAATTGGACGAAGGCTAAACATGTCCACCAACCCATACCATGTCTACATGTAGTTGTGGGTTATGAATTCCTTACGTTGCAGTGCTTGACTCCTAATGCACTGAGAGAGTAGAAGTATGTGCATGAAAAAACATGTTTATAGCAATAATATCAGAGGAAAGGAAAGAACCTCCCCCACCCAAGCACACAAAACACAGACAATAACATACCCAAGCATGTTATACATACTTTAGGAAGTAAAGTGAAAGTTAAGGGGAGTATTATGTTGAAGGTGATTGGGAGACAGTGAGTGTATGATGTAAAACATCGTTGGTTGGTGGTCCAAAGAGAGCGTGGTAATGAGGGGGGAGGGGGTACAAGGTGATTGAGGGTTAGTTGAAGAACCTGTCATGGCTGTATGATGTGGTGTATTGCTGGTTGGTGGTCTGCAGAGTGTGGTGGCATCCTACGATGAGGTATTCCCAGCTGCAGACGAGGGAGCTCCTGATGTGGACGACAACTGTTAGCAACTCTCTCTCTCTTTCTTCTCCCTGCCTCTTTCCTCTTTCTCTTCTCTCCCTCCCCTCTCCCTCCTCTCTCTCCCTCCCTCCCTCCCCCCCTCCCTCTCTCTCTCTCCTCCTCTCTCCCGTCTCTTAAAACATTCTCCAATATTACCACTTGTTATACACATGTACACCTACACGTAGGTTCTCTGATGTATCTGAATGAAGCTACTCTTCTCCATAACTTGAGAATGCGATACACCAAGGGCCAGATATACGTACGTAAAATTCACAATACCGTAGACTGTGAACTTATATACTCATTACGTAATCTGTAGTCAACTTACTCATTACGTAATCTGTAGTCAACTTACTCATTACGTAATCTGTAGTCAACTTACTCATTACGTAATCTGTAGTCAACTTACTCATTACGTAATCTGTAGTCAACTTACTCATTACGTAATCTGATAGTCAACTTACTCATTACGTAATCTATAATTTCGATTCGTATAAAGCAGTGTATGTAAATGGAGAATAGTCAGACTTGGTCACAGTCAGGAGAAAGAGATAAAATAAAGCAAAGTGTAGTCATATGCACCCATAATAGTTTACAATAGCAGTCACATTGTTTATCTTCCCTTAAAACTGTTTTCCCTCCCTTTCTTTCCTCCATCTAGACCTACGTGGCCAACATCCTCCTTGCTGTCAATCCAAATAAGGAAGTCGGGGGACTCTATACCAGCGAGGTCATCAGGAGGTACAATGGCAGATCTCTTGGCACCCTCCCTCCCCATGTCTTCGCCATTGGTGAGAGAGCCTCTCTTTATCGACACCCACTGTGGGGCATACTTATGTTTTAACCTAGTAGAGGAAATTCGTATTCAGGCTGCAAGAACGGATATAGGGCTTATTAGCCCCTCATATGGTTAGACTAAGCTTCAATCATAATAGTGACATCAACGTTCTTGCTATGATGCGATTTACTGCACATTCTATTGCAGCTCACCACAGGTACATTCGTTGGTAAAACGTGAGACGTTTCTCATTCTGTACTTCTCTAGTTCTTCCTCGTTACACATGTACATGTATGCATGCCATGCAATCACACGGCGGGATTCGTGGCATGTATTTCGTATAAGTGCATAAATGTCTGTGCAGCTATGTAATGTACACATGGTAGCTAGAGCTGGCACGCCCATTACAGGTTGTATCTTCCTCCAGCTGACAAGGCATATCGCGAGATGAAGTCCATGAGGTGTAGCCAGTCCATCATTGTCAGCGGTGAGTATTACAGGGATCACATGATACAGTACGATGTCATGATGACATCACAGGCGAGAGCGGTGCGGGGAAGACAGAGTCGACAAAGTTCATTCTTCGTTACCTGACGGAGTCTTATGGAGCTAGGGCTGGCATTATTGAGCAGAGGATCGTGGAAGGTATATGTTATGTGTGTTGATTGTGTAAAAAATTTGTCTGAGGGCAAATTTTTTTAGTACATTTTTTAGGGGCACAAGTTGATTTCAATACCACACTTTGGTATCTTAGTGATTGATTTGAGCCATTTATGTATCGTGTATAGTTCAGGGGGGCAAATTAATTATCGGGGGGGGGGTAAATTGTCCCCCTTGCCCCCTTGAAACAATCGTGGTGTATATATGTAAAGAGTTCCATTGTCGTGATGCCCCTAGTCACAGCTTTCATTCAGTTAAATTTCTTTTCCACATACAAAGATTGCTTTATATCTTGGCCCAACTCCTATTCTCCTTGTGTCTTATATACAATAATATAATTATTCTCCAAGCTCTTCAGTATGATTTGCTATTGAAAATTTCTCTCCCAACCACTAAAATAACTTGTATTACATACGTATGTGTCTTTTCCCTCCCTCTCACTCAGCCAACCCACTTCTGGAGTCGTTTGGCAATGCCAAGACCATGAGAAACAACAACAGCAGTCGATTCGGGAAATTCAGTGAAATTCACTACAACGCCAAAGTACGTGTCACGTTATGTGCATTATTATTGGCGAGCGAAACGAGCCTACCTAGATGTCTGACTGCGGAAATTTTCTATGTTCTATAATTACGTGACGGGCACTGCACTATACCATGATGCTCTACGTGATTCTAAATATGTGGTTCTAAATACAAATTGAGCACCGTTCCAAATACTGCATACGTGTGAAAAATTTAAATTCCCACGTTCGCTTGCCAAAAACGTGTGCCATTCGTTCTAGTATATCTCTTCATTCTCCCTCCTCCCACCCTCCCTGCCCCCAGCACGAGGTGGTAGGTGGTCACGTGTCTCACTACCTGCTGGAGAAGTCCAGAATATGCTCCCAGTCGGCAGAGGAGAGGAACTATCACGTCTTCTACCGCATGTTGGCCGGGGCTTCCCCCGACATGAGACAGGCTCTGGGGCTGCAGGATGGAGCTTCGTTCACAGTGAGCCTCTCCTTCATTGTACAATCTTTCCCTGTTAGCCTCTTTTGGCTATTGCATATCCTATGGTGGATATACATGGGAGTAATTATTGGCTTTCAGTTTGGTTTTTGTGTCCTATGGTGCATTGTACATGGGCGTAATTTTGGCTTTGGTTTTTGTGTCCTATGGTGCATTGTACATGGGCGTAATTTTTGGCTTTGGTTTTTGTGTCCTATGGTGCATTGTACATGGGCGTAATTTTTGGCTTTGGTTTTTGTGTCCTATGGTGCATTGTACATGGGCGTAATTTTTGGCTTTGGTTTTTGTGTCCTATGGTGCATTGTACATGGGCGTAATTTTTGGCTTTGGTTTTTGTGTCCTATGGTGCATTGTACATGGGCGTAATTTTTGGCTTTGGTTTTTGTGTCCTATGGTGCATTGTACATGGGCGTAATTTTGGCTTGGTTTTTGTGCCTATTGACGTAGGTTTGGTTTTTGTATCCTATTGTGCATTGTACATGGGCGTAATTTTTGGCTTTGGTTTTTGTATCCTATTGTGCATTGTACATGGGCGTAATTTTTGGCTTTGGTTTTTGTATCCTATTGTGCATTGTGCATGGGCGTAATTTTCGTTCTCTTTACTGCCTTTTTGTGCAGTGTACTCGTTGTGTACGTGTAAACCAAACAGCTCACGCTTCCACACGGAGAAAGAAGAAAACGAGAGAGAAAGAGAAGGGAGGGATTATAAAGGGCATCACAGCCCATTCACACTGTCTAAGGCTCATATATATACACTGTCTAAGGCTCATATATATACACAACATAGGACTTGCTCTACATACACTCCTATATATGTTCCCTTCATTTCTCCAAACATCTCTTCCTTCTCCCCCCTCCCCTCCCTCTCCCCCTAGTACCTCAACCCAGCTTCCCTCCATGACCCGAACCTCCAAGACGAGGAGGAGTTCTCCCACCTCACTCACTCCATGGACTGCATCGGTCTGAGTCCCTCCGAGAAAGCTGATCTGTTTCGAGTCGTGGCGGCCGTTCTGCACCTCGGCAACGTCTCCTTCGAGGAGAACACAAAAGACAAGAAAGGTGTGTTGGGCGGAGTCTTCTGATATGATCAACTACATAATATAGGTTATACTGCACATCAATGGAAATGATTGGTCAATTTGAATCTGCCGTCGTCGTGTGTTGGGCGCAGTCTTCTGATATGATCAAATACATAATATAGGTTATATATACTGTGCGTCAATGGAAATACGAATGATCTGATTGGTCAATTTGAATCTGGCGCCGTGTGTTGGGCGGAGTCTTCTGATATGATCAAGTCACACATTGTATCTGACAGTGCCATACACCTAATGCAGTATTTGTGCACCTAAATTGTACAACTGCACGGGATCTCCCACTCTTCACACAGTTCACACACAATTTCTGGTATTACGGTATGAAAGTTCCCCCATTCCACTGATGTACATATTATTCTAATGTACAGGTGGCAGTGTGGTGAGTGTTGGGAGTATGACATCATTGGAGGGCGTGGCAGGTCTCCTGGGGCTGGAGAAGGCGGAGCTTCAGCGATCGCTCACGTCTCGCGTCATGACAACCACCAAGGGCGGCAACCTTGGAACCATCATCAAGTGAGTGGAGAACCACAATCAATGTGTCCTGATTGTTGGGTGGATGTGGTGTACTAAGAGATCAAGCCAGCGTATATTGGGTCAATAGCCTACAAATTACTTTAATTGGGGGTGCATTAGGTCATAAGTGCAGGCTGTCTCTAGTACAGATTTTCTATGTATTGTATTTGACACCCAGAACGGCTCTTTCTTTTCAAAGTTGACTTGTTTGCCTTGCCTGCCTTGCCTTTCTACCTCGTTACCAAGTTGTTGAGACATGCACTGCCGCTGCACATTCTGTACGTGATTCCCAATACGTGCACGGAGAATTGAACTATAATCGTGTTCGCTCTCCAATAATCCTCATTCTACAGTACGAGTCAAAACAAGGGTAAGGCTTTTTTGGATCATATGCACTCATCCTCACATTACAAATGTTCCCATATTACCCGTAGTTATTTACTGCACTATGCAGCGTTCCCCTGAAGCCAGACCAGGCGTGCAATGCCAGAGATGCCCTGGCCAAGGCCCTCTACACCAGACTATTCTCCCACATTGTCAAGAGAGTCAACCAGTGCTTCCCTTTCCAGTCCTCCGCACACTACATCGGAGTTCTGGACATCGCCGGGTTTGGTGGGTGTGGCTTCTCTAGCTCTCTCTCCTTCCTTTCAGTTGCACTTTGTCTTTAGCATACCACAAGAATTTCAATATCCCAATTTCAATACCAATTATAAACTTGCGTAATTGGCGTACACATCTCTCTGCGGTTCCTCAGAGTATTTCCAGGTGAACAGTTTCGAACAGTTCTGTATCAACTACTGCAACGAGAAGCTGCAGCAGTTCTTCAATTCCAGAATACTTAGAGAGGTACATATATATATATGTTGTAGGGTGAATTTTTATTTTCACAGTTAGTCTTGAATCCATGTAAAATTTGGACCGCAAATAAGATGATGTGTAACAGAGACTTTAAAATGAGACCCACGAATACATGTTTCCACAAACTGTCAATGTCCAAAAACCAGCTTTTTTGATTTGCTGATGGGTCAAGTACTACCAATTTTTGTTGTTGTTTGTTGTTGTTGATGTTGTTGTTGTTGTTTGTCTGCTGTAGGAGCAAGACCTGTACAAGAAGGAGAGTCTTGGAGTGACAGAGGTCATGTTCATGGACAACCAAGACTGCATTGGTCTGTCAAAACCTCAAACATATTCTCTTACTCTATGGAGTGTCAACTTAACCAAATCGTTTTGTCGCCCCAACCTTCCCACAGACCAACATACCATAATAATGTTTACGTGATTCTAAATCCGTGCTAAAACGCACGAAATGTTGTTATGAGTTATTCCCTTCCTCCAGACCTAATAGAGCATAAGAAGTCGGGAGTGGTTGATCTACTAGATGAGGAATGTAAACTGCCCAAAGGTTCACCCCAACATTTCACCGACATCGTCCACTCTCGACACAAGGACCACTTCAGACTCTGTGTGAGTGTATATTGTATACCATCTGTTGGTTTGTCAGAGTTTGTGAGGGTGAATGGGTCTAGAATGATAGACTGCTATAGGAGGACAATAATTTCCTTTTTTCAGACTCTGTGTGAGTGAGTATACATATGTACCATGTTAGTTTGTCAGAGTTTGTGAGGGTGAATGGGTCTGAGAATGATAGACTGCTATAGGAGGACAATAATTTCCTTTTTTCAGACTCTGTGTGAGTGAGTATACATATGTACCATGTTAGTTTGTCATAGTTTGTGCGAGTGGATGGGTCTGAAGTCTGATTTTTGGGTGACTGCTATATATATATAATATGTAGAGTTTATAGCTCGAACTTCAGCTCATTGGAGCATCATGCAGCAGCCCTGCTCTGTGGTGGTTACATAATGGCAGTGGAAGGACCTCAGCCCATAGTATATGTAATATGTACGGTTAAACCTCTGAAAGGGACCTCCAAATATAAGGGTCACCTCTCTATAAAGGGCACTTGGTTCTGCCCCATATTAGTATATACATCAGTGCATTACCCGAGTAAGGGACACCTCTGAATGAAGGACATTTTGTCTCTTGAAGCACTGAGTATTGTAATTATTGTCTAAAAATTTTTCCGAGTGTTAAAATCGATACTCCCAATCATGCACTCCAATTGGTGTCTCTCTCATCCCCAGTTGCCACGGAAGTCGAAGCTGCCGTTCCACAGAAACCTGCGAGACGACGAGGGACTAATGATTAGACATTTCGCTGGAGCCGTCTGCTACATGACTGTAAGGCTAGGTTCACAATAATTATGTCACTTTGCGCCGCGCCGCGTCGCATCCTGCCGCGAAGATAGAAATGGATTCTATCCTCGTGAAGCGGCACGGTGTGACGGGGTAGGATGCGACATATTGTGAACCCAGCCTAACTCCATTCCACTCTCTCTTGATTCATTATTATATATATAATATGTGTGTGTGTACATTTTGCTTCACACTTTCTGAAGCTTTTACGATTGTATATACATCTACCACAGGGCCGTGTGTAGTTTCGGAGGGTGAATAAAGAAGTAGATTAAATATATAGCCCTCTCGAAAGTCCAAAATGCCTCTCTGATATATTATGTTTACATTCGTCCTCTCGTGTGCAGGCAGAGTTTCTCGACAAGAACAACGATGCCCTCCACGCCAGTCTGGAGCAGATGGTGGCCGTCAGTAAAGACGACTTCATCAAGCAGCTGTTCCCCGACGCCACGGCAACCTCAGGCTCCGCCTCCTCCCCCTCCTCGTCTCCATCCAGTCGGACTAAGAAACTGGCACTTGTCAGTGTTGGCAGCAAGTTCAGGGTTAGTTGATAAAAGATTTAAGGATTGTAGCGACCTATTAGGTTTTGCGTTGCACTCTCCAGCTATATATAGTGCAAGTGTTCAGGGTGGTAGGTTGGCCTATTCCTAAAACCGATTTCTTGGTAAAGTCGAGAGGTTTAGGGCCACCACTTTTCCACTTAATTTTGCACTGCACTCTCCAGTATCGTGAGTAAAAGTACGAGCAATTTAGGCCACCCTATTTCCACATTAGATACTTGCACTTCTCTAGCTATAGTGAAAGTTGTGGTATTATAGGGTGGACTTTTTCACTTTCTCTTTCTCTCTTTTTGATAAACACAGACCCAGCTGAACTCTCTTATGGAAAAGCTAAAGACAACCGTAAGTTAATTTGCTTGACACTGTCAATAGTTACATTTTTACTTTTTGCAATGAGCATTTCGCTTTTAAATTGTTACTGTATTGTCGTTGCTGTTGTGTGTGTGTGTGTGTGTGTGTGTGTGTGTGTGTCAGGGTTCCAGTTTCATTCGATGTCTGAAACCCAATCTGACCATGGTACCGGGACAGTTTGTGGGCGGCCAGATACTCTCGCAGCTGCAGTGTGCAGGTATATATAGAGAGAGAGAGGGAGGGAGAGAGGGAGGGAGGGAGGGAGTAGCGAGCGATGCCGCATTTGAACTGTTGCTATTTGCAATTGCATCCTTTTCCCCATCTTCGCTCCAGGGATGATATCAGTTCTGGAGCTAATGCAGGGAGGCTACCCATCGCGAGCTCAGTTCTCAGACCTCTATAAGATGTAATACCTATGATGAGTTGCCCTGGTAGCTCAGTTGGTAGAGCGCTCGCCTAGACTGCAGAGTGTCGTGGGTTCGAATCCGACCCAGGACAGCTCTTCTTCTATTCTTTGAAAAGAAAGGGCTGTCCTGGGTGTAGTTGACTTGTTCGCCTTGCCTTTCTACCTCGCTACCAAGTTGTTGAGACATACATTGCATGTATTGGTGTACCATGAAATTATAGTTCATAGCATACCAGCCATGTACATGTAGAATCATGTACGAGTGGTCTATGCCAAAAACATTTCTCCCATACATGTGTGCAGTTCTTCATCTAATACACTGTCATGTGACGTGGTCATGTGATCTCCCCAGGTACCAGCCCAACCTCCCGGCTAGGCTGTCGGGTCTGGATCCCAGGACCTTCTGTCGGGCCCTGTTCCGTGCCACTGGAATGAGAGATGGCGACTTCAAATTTGGCATCTCCAGAGTCTTCTTCAGACCTGGCAAGGTACAGTTGGAGGTTGGAATAGCAGTACTATCTAGCTGTACCTAAACACTTATTTTTCTTGCAATTTCCTTCTTTACCACCCCTTCCGACAAGTATTTGAACAGTTTTGCGTTTGTTGTACGCACATGAGTAAACGAAACGACAAACCAACAATGCCTAACAGTTTGACTATACAGTAGGTTGGAATAGCGATACTATCTAGCTGTACCTAAACACTAATTTTTCTAGCAATTTCCAACAAGGATTTGAACAGTTTTGCATTTGTTGTACGCACATAAGTAAACGAAACGACAAACCAACAATGCCTACCAGTTTGACTATAGTTGGAGGTTGGAATAGCAGTACTATCTAGCTGTACCTAAACACTTATTTTTCTTGCAATTTCCTTCTTTACCACGCCTTCCGACAAGTATTTGAACAGTTTTGCGTTTGTTGTACGCACATGAGTAAACGAAACGACAAACCAACAATGCCTAACAGTTTGACTATATGTACGCTCAATGTTGCTGTGCAGCAGTAGATTCCGAGTTCACAAAAAATTTAAACCGCTTTACACACATGAAGTTTTTCGCATGTGCATTATAAAGCAAGACAGGCTTGCCAATGAAATACGGGTAATCGTACAGTTCTATTATCGATCGATTGAGTTGTTCTGTTGTTGTAGTAATAGGTGCTAGCTGAGCTGCTCTATGTGATGTTTGCCTTGGCAAGTGCGGCAGGCTTTCCAGCATTGTAGCGTAGTATAGGTTTGTATGGCATACATACTGTATATCTCTGTTGTTGTTGTTGTTGTTGTTGTTGATTTTGTTGTTGTTGTTGGTATCAGTTTGCAGAATTTGACCAGATAATGAAGAGTGACCCGGACAGTCTGAGGGAGATGGTGGCCAAGGTTCAGAGCTGGCTGGTCTGCACCCGGTGGAGGAAGGTCATCTTTGGAGCCATCTCTGTACTGAAACGTGAGGACTCGTGTAACTACCACTTGTTTTAATGGAAAACCTTTTTCCATATTTTTCGCTTTTTGTATGTTAACAGTGTAGCCGCTGGTATCACTAATAGGCCGCCTCGTAGCCTGTAGTGCCAGAATAAGCGTCGACAGACAGACAGACAGACAAACCAACTACTGTAACCCTCGCTGCACTTGCGCTCCGAGGGTTAATTAATATACTCGCATTAGAAGACCTTTAGGCCCTTCATGTATATATATATAGCGCTGCAACTCGACGTCTAATATAGTCACACTTGTGGAATGTTGAGTGTGCTAAACATAGCAAATTATTCGTGTTGCCTCCTCTTCCCTTTTTTGACACCTCTTATTTCTCTCTGTCTCCCTCCCTGTGCGATGGTGAAGTGGCTCGTAAGATCCAGCTGAGAGCAGAGAGTGCGGTGAGGGTTCAGAAGTACGTGAGGATGTTCCTTGCCGTGAGGAAAAACAGACCAAGGCAAGAAAGAGGGGGAGGGGGAAGGGAGGGGAGAGATAGGAAGAGGTGTACAGGGGGTTATTTTGTGCCTGCTTGAATCATGAGATTTAAACACAAGTCCACTGGAAAGTTAACTGGATCACGCATGTGTCTTTAACTCCCTTGCTTCTCCGTCTTCTCCGTCTTCTCCGTCTTCTCTTATCTTCTTTTGTCTCTTCCTCTCTTCCGATCCCCATGCATAGGTTCCAGAGTATGGCCAGATTGAAGCAGCTGAAAGGGAGGATTCCTATTCTGGCTGAACTCGGTGAGTTGAGCCCCTTATGGTAACTCCTAACTTGCTTGCATTCACTTGACAAACATTCACATCAGGACGTCATGTATGGGAAAGAAAATGTTGCCAAAGAGAGATGTTTAATCTTAGCATGTGTCTGAAAATGGTGCACACTGCTCAGTTGAGAAATGTGTGTGCTGTTGGATTAACCTCGCGTCCAATTTCGAACACCATTTTTTGGTGTTTTACAAACTTACTTGCAAAGTGTGCATATCCGCAGTGTCACATCTCGTCTGCCGCACTTCCATATTCAGACCCAAATTAACAAGGACCGACTGCTCAAATAGACTGCCACCTACAACTTATGTATAACTATAGGATTGTATGTATGTGACATTTTGTGTACCGTGTGCTATATATCAACCTCTTCCTACTCATTAATTCCGGCTCTGTGACCCCATCAGTGTCCCATCTAAAGAAGGATAAGACTCAGTTGGTGGAGAGAGTCAACTCCCTCCAATCTTCCATTGACAAGAATATGGCAACTCTCAAGGTCAGTTCGTGCAGTGGCAAAATCACCAAATCATTGGCTGACAGTTCATGTGCTAGTTGGACACCAAGTCTTTGGTTGACACTATTCACGCAAGAGTTTCTGCAGTAACCAACCACCATAAATGAAAGTTTTGAGATAAGCTTCATTGGGGCAGATGAAAGCTGTGAACAACATTATTGCTTTTTGCTGTGAGTTTCTAGAAAAAACGAGCAACTGGTCTTTTCTCCCTTCCCACAACACGCACACACACACACGCACGCACAGTCGAGTGAGGCCAGTTGCAGCTCCATCAAGAGCCTCCACTCGGAGCTTCTCTCTCGTACGGAGGTGTTTATGGAGGAGCTGAGGGTTCGCCAGGACACCCAGAGACGGGATGAAGAAGAGGCAGAGAGGCAGAGAAAGATACAAGAGGAGAAGGAGAGGAAGGAGAGAGAGGTTGGCCTTAATTCGTGTGGCACAAAACCTTCATGTTTTTGAGTGTGTTTGGTTTATGTGTATATATGCAATTCGTTAATGTTGCACATACCCATCATAGTTATATACGTACCTTTGTAGAGGATTTCTTACCAAATTTACTCAGTTATACTTGTACTCCTGTTTTTAATCGATGCTCTAACTTTCATTTCTTGTGTATACGCTAGTGTTTCCACCAATCATTTAATTGGACACGCATGAGTTTTTCGTAGGGTAATTGAGGACTGATTAACACTTAACCAGCCGCGGACACATAAATGTGTCCATAGCCTCCATAAGTTCATAAGAATTGATATAGTGGTTATAACACTAGGCGCTAATACTTTATACACCAATTTAACCAGATCCCCAAGGCGTCCAAAGGGTTTTAATTAATGCCTGCCATGCATGAAATAGCATGAAAACTGTTTTCAATGGGATTTTCATGGGTTGATAATAAATATTGCTTATTATATTCCTTGTTTTCGGCTCTTTCCAAGAAGTTTTCGTTGGTTGAAAAGCTTACTCCCTTCCCTCCCCTCGCAGGAGAGAGAGAGGGTTCAGAGGGAGAAGGAGGAGAAGGAGAAGAGAGCCAAGGAAGAGGCCGACAAGCTGAGGGCGGAGAGGGAGAAGAGGGAGAGAGAGGAGGCCGAACGAATCAGGAAGATCAGGGAAGAAGAGGTATGTTTGTGTACAGTAGAGTGTGGTGTGTCATAGTGCTCTGAGCCATTTGTTGCATAATAATTATTAAGTGAATGTGAAATACCGTGTAGCTAAACCTTTTCGCGAATATTTTGAACTCACAAGCGTTGAAAAATATGCTGTCTTTTCTAACTTGTCGAAATACATCAGTTTCGCAGTAAGTTCCCACTGTTCCGCAAGTGTATTTTAATAACACAGCTCATTTGAGCGCAGCCCAGATTAAATATGTAGTTTTGCTGTGTGTGCATTAAAATTTAATTTTAGCATTGCCTTCTCTTTTTCAGGAGAGGGAGAGGAAGAGGAGGGAGGAGGAGGCAGGGAGACTGAGACAGCTGCAAGAGGCCATGGAGAGAGAGAAGAGGGAGAGGCAAGAGGAGGAAAAACGAAGACTCGCCGAAGAGGAAGAGAGAAAGAGGTCATACACGTTTATATCCGTAATACACATCATTGATATGCAGTCTTTTACTTATGCATTTGTTGTGAGTGTGATACGTTGCTGTATATAGTGTTCTGAATGTTGTATGAATCCAACAGTGGCCTTATAATGTTATCTGCAAATTTCCCTACACATGGCTATGTATAATATATATGTACATATATAGTAGTACAATAAGTGGGTTGTATTGGCCTCTCATTTGTATGTCGCATTGCCCCGTCGCGCCATGCTGCATCACGTTGTGTCGCGAAGGATTCTATCCTCGCGACACGGCATCGCAGCACGGTACGACACAGTGAGGGTAGCTGCCTTCAAAATGGCGGAGTTCTACTACGTGTGTGGTGTGTGTGTGTGTGTGTTGGTGCAGACGGGCGGAGCTTGAGGCGAGGAGGGTGAGGGAGGAGGAGGAGAGGAAGAGGATAGCGGAGGAAGAGAAACGAAGGGTTGAACAGATCGAGGCCGACAGACGACTCGCTGAGAATCTCCTGAAACAGGAGGAAGAAGAGTGGAAACAAAGGTACTCCATGGGGAACCCCTCTAATACCGACACTAATGGGACAGTCCATTTTAGTGAGGTGTCTGTCCTTTTCCTGGATTAAATTGTGTGCACAGACAGCTCCTGGGGAAAGAAAAGTGTCATGTATCAGGGGTGTCCTTAGAGAAGTGTTCCACTGTAATGTAAAGCAAACCTTGAAATTAGCAACTTTAACTGTGATTTGTTCTTAATTTCCCAGGAGGGAAGCGGCTGAACAAGAAAGGAGAGATTACGAACTTGCTGTTCGCCTGGCACAGGTTATTATACTCTCTCTATTTCTCTCTCTCTCTCCTCTCTCTCTCTCTCTACTCTCTCTCTACTCTCTACTCTCTCTCTCCTCTTTTCTTCATTTCGCGCTACACTCGCACATCCCACTGTACATCAGTATGCATAATAGGCTTAATAGTAGCTAGGAAATATTAGGGCATATTTCAGATTTGATGATGCGGTGATTGGGGTGGGAGTATTTCTGCAATAAGGTGCCAAACTTTAGAACTGTGCTATTTGAGTGAACGCATGCCTAATATTTGCAAGCAAACTCCCTCTCCCCCTCCCTCCCTACCTCCCTCCTTCCCACCCTCTGCACAGTATGAAGCTCAGCAGAAGGTGATATCGGACAGCATTGCCAAGCGACCGCAGCCACCTCAGTCCCAGATAGCCCGTCGCTCTCTCCAGAGGTCCAGTCAGAGGCAGCTGTCTCGACAGCAGGAGGCCGTGAGGAAGAAACACGACCTAACCAAATGGAAGTTTGCAGATCTGCGAGACACCATCAACACCTCCTGTGGTGAGGACACCGATACATGCATAGGTTCACGTAAAGTAACAGCTCACGCTTTACTTACATACTATATATAGAAAGAAGGAAGAGAAGGAAGTGTGAGAAGGGCTGCTGGGGCTTCACTTGATATCTACAGAGATAAAACACAAACATAACCACGTCGCACCATGCCACGTTGTCTTGTTGCAAGGATAGAATATCCTTGCAACACAACACGATGCATATTTATTATTATTGCGCATCATGTAGTTATCAAGTGAGAATGTTTTTGTGTGTCTGCGGACTGATTTTCAAATTTTGCTTGTAATGTGAACGGGCTCTGTAATTCAATAATGTCTCCACTTTACAATGTGGAAAGTGTGTGTCAAGCAGTTCGACTGTATGCAGCATTCCACCAAACCCATTATTGCTAGTAGACAGCCTTATCCATTTGTGTTCCTCATTAACCCTCGGAACGCATGCGCAGCGAGGGTTACAGTAGTTGGGTTTGTCTGTGTGTGTGTCTGTCTGTTACTCTACATATCTCACTTCTCGAACGTCTGTTCGTCCCAGAAAGGATACCATCTACCGAACGGGCGACGAAGGTCAGAAAATAAAGGCGGTTTTCTCTGAAAATGCTCCGTTGCTAAGCTAGAGCGGGAAAAAGCCAATATGCAAATACACAACGGCTTTCTACGGCATGATCGATCCGCGTGCTCTGCGTACCTCGGAGGCACCAGAAGATGCAACGCAGGGCGTGTATCGCCTCTCGCGTAGTGTAGTTAGCCCGCGTCAGACTCTGCGCGAGCTGGCAAGAGACCACACGAGTAACAGCTAAAACTAAACCCAGCCCATCAATTAGTGGTACGGCGCATGCGTTTACTTACGCGCGCGCGTCACAGTGCGCCGAGGGTTTGCACTTCAGTGCTTTTCGTTTTCTCTTCTTTTGTTTTCTCTCCCTCTCTCTCCCTCACTCCATTTGGCAGACATTGATCTTCTGGAAGCCTGTAAAGAAGAGTTCCATCGTCGTCTCCGTGTCTACCATGCCTGGAAGGAGAGGAATGCTCGCCAGGGCGATGGGGAATCCCCCACCGAGCGACCAGCTACTGACCAAGTTCTGCAAGAAGGTATGTATGTGTAGGTACACCATGTGGCTGTGTACGCACGCGCTACCCCGGTTTCCCTGCATCTCGGGAAGGCGAAGCTCCACGAGGCCGCTTAGTGTATTCTGCCTAGCATGCTCTGTAGACTACGTTTTGTTCCTCGCCTTAAGAAGGACGCAGTTTAGTTAGCCTCGCGGCCCTTTAGTAGCTCGCGCCCTCGCTGCACTCTGGACACCGACTGCCCAAGGATCCCCTTGAGTCACTATACGAAAATCACGTAGTTCCCGCGTCTCAACATCTAACCTTTACACTGTGTATGCTGCCACCCATCATCAGCAGATGCTTTGTCTCGTTTGTAGCTCAGCAAGACACCACCTCTCCCCCTCTTCCTCCTCTGCGAACATCCTCCACCTCCCCTCCTCCCCCCTCCGACGATGCCACGGGGGGCACTGCCCCCCAGAGATATTTCCGGGTCCCCTTCCTCCGTCCCTCGGAACGCGGGACACTCAATCGCGAGCGGGGATGGTGGTACGCTCACTTTGACGGGCAATGGGAGGTGCGTCAATTAGAACTGCACCCGGGGAAAGCGCCCCTCCTCTTGATTGCCGGGAAGGACGACATGCAGATGTGTGCGCTCTCTCTTAACGACACGGGGCTTACCCGCAAGCAGGGGGGCGAGATTTTGGAGGAAGAGTTTGAAGGAGTCTGGAGGAAGAGTGGCGGGAAACCGCACATCAAGAATAAGGACAGAAAGAGAGCCGCAGCTGGCGCAACAAGGAGGGATCTCGTGTGACTTTTAGTGCACTCGCTGCTAGGACGAACATGTACGTAGACAACTTTTTTAATTTTTTCAACGTGTATACAGTATAATGAATAGGTAGTAGTCAGAGGTTTCATTTTCAGATCATTGTTTCCTGTTGAGAGCTGTTGGAGTGAGCGCTGCACTGTCCCTTCACCCCTACCCAGGGTAATGGTGTTGCACTTTTTGCCAGCATGCGGGTAAATAAAACGAACTGTATCCCTAATACTTCTACTATAGTTGGAGTGTGGCATGTCTTGCTGTATTGATCACGATTATCTCACCTCCATTTCACAGTCCTTCATCTCAATTGTTTCATTAATTTTGCATTTTTTTCAGGCTTGTGGGTGAACAAAATGACAAACCAACTATTCCCAATACTTCTACTGTAGTTGGAGTGTGGAATGGCAACATTATCTAGTGCAACCTTGTTGTTATCCCTATATATCCGTTCACCCCCTTATTCAGTAAATAGTTTTGCAATTTCTGCTCGCACATGAGCAAGCAAAATGACAAACCATTCATCTCTAATGCTTTGACTATAGTTGGAGTGTGGAATAGCAACACTATCTCACACACTCCTCAGCACTGAATTCCACTAACACATCATGTACATATACATATTGAATGCAAAACGATAAAATTTCCACTTAGCACATAAAAGGGACACAAAAAGTGCATAATTACACACATCATGTACAAATTGAGTGCATAATTACACACATCATGTACAAATTGAGTGCATAATTACATACATCATGTACGCAGAACGATAAAATTTCCACACCATAAAAAAAAAAGTGCATAATTAACACATCAAATTGAATTCAGGTGATATTTTACTCTGCATCATCCTCCAGGATGTGAATTGCAGCGTTGATTTCCTGCAGTAGCCCAGACACCTGCACCCAAAACAGGTCGAGCGTATCGGGAAACCGGACAAACTGCTCCCTGACCCGTTTGACGATCTGTGGCATGTTCTTTCTCTCAGACGAACTCAGACTCACACTCTTGACCAGCGCCGGGAGATTTCTAACCAGATTGTCCAACTCCTCGAGGCTGTTTCGCATCTCTCGCTTGAGGAAATCTTTCTGCTGGAGGAAAAGGTGACAGGCGTCTAACAAGTCCCGGATGTGTTTCTGAGCCTTTCTCTTCAGGCGCGGAACCTCCTCCGCGCGCACAGATATCCTCTTCACGTCCCCCGACCGGTCGTACCTCTCCACCGTGAATTTCGGGTTGGTGAGTTGGGATTTCCACGCGGCGAAGCATTCGGCGACGGGGAGCGAGGGGTCGACTTCGAGAACCTTTTTGAAGAGCTGGAGAGCCTCGTCGACCTTCTCGCGATTCGTCACGGCAATGTCGTAGCGCTCGCAGACAGACTTGAAGACTTCGTTTATCTGTGGGACGAGACAAGACGGCGTTTCGAGGGAGTAGTTTTGGTCCAGATACTGGAACCGCGGATTCGACCCGACACCACCGCTGGCGGCGTGTCCGTTAGCTCCTGCACGGTTGCCTGATCCAGCTACAGTATATATCAATATTATAACGAAATCTGTATAACTGATTTGCACGGGCAGGTAATTCTGTATGCTAAGTAATTGTACGTGGATTTTAGCAGTAAAACCCTCTTGGAGACCTTGGGGATGTTGAAAGTGTTCAACCATTTTGGAGTGTTATATATGCGACACCTGGACTCGCGGCGGCCACAACTGTACAAGTCCTGTTAGACTTCTTGTCTGTGTTTATATAATGAGGTAGCCTCATTGTCCATGTTCACATACCATTGCTGTAAGTAGGTAGAACGACACCTAATGCCGTGACTATAAATTGGGTGTGTGTATGAGTTAGAATCAGCATTCGGCATAAGATTTCTGTCAAGAGTGAAGCTCCGCCGGTCGAGACAGCGGAGAGCTGCTGCGGAGGAATTGCGCCGGCTGGAGCGCCAGACGCCGTTCGCTACATATATTATAGAGGTGTCCTTTTCGGTCATTACATCATGGTTTACTGTTTCTACTTATAGCTTGCTGCGTATTGAACTACCAATAGCACTATGCTCTTTCGTGACCATCGTTTTGTGGATAAAGAACCCAAGGTCTTGTTAGCTGTACATAAGTATTCCTTACCGTGAGCAGAAGGAGCTGGTTTGGTGCCATCGGAGGACTCCAGATCAGAGCCTCTCCTGATGCTGTAGCTGGCACTACGCATGCTCCCTGACAATAGACCCTGGGTGGGGAAGAGATGTGGAAATGGCAGGCTGAACCGTCACAGTACTCGGCAGGCACACCACACATGCACATCCAGTATGATGCATGCTGTTGAAAGATGGCTGGTAATTGAACAGCAACAGCACTAGCTTATATAAGACGCCCCATTTTTGCCCCGCCAACAAGCTACGTAGAAATAGAGGTGTATGTACAGTATTCCATGGCTACAGGAAGGACTCCGCGGAGTCTCACCGTGCTCTCGTCGGATCTCTGGTCCTGTTGTCTACCTCGCTCGTTGTCGTTGTCGGACAGACCACCACCCCGTGCATCTCCGCCTCTGCTATCATCACCGCTCAGACACGACCCCATGATCTACCTCGAGCACTTCTGGCTAGAGGACCATCTGCTAACGTCGGCGGTGGTCCCGTTTTTCTACGAGCTAGCCCTTACGAGGTGTGTCCTCAGCAAAAATCGCAAGCGCATGCACAATCTTGCGCATGCGCTTTAAGCACCCCCTCTCTTGATCGTGAGGTCCCTGGTTCGATCCCGGGGGTGTGCGCCTTTTTTACAATGATGTAATATATAGGAGTGTTGGCTGTTGGTATAACTAGAACGTTTTTTCATCACCTCTCAAGGCCAGCCCGAGTGGCTAGGTGGTTAGAGTCGTGGGGAACCATAGGTGCCCGGTTCGAATCCTCGATCCCGCACTAAAGTGTCAGGTGGTCCAGAGCATTGGCTTGGTTCCTTCCCTTACCCACAAATTTACCACTGACCCACGTTTCTCAAAGGGCAGCGTATAGTTCGGCATTGCACTGCGTCCGTAGACGTCTGTCTGGAGAGATGAAGGGCTGGCCGTTTTTTTTAATTTTCAACCTGTGGGGTTCTTAAATTTTTTTTGCATTAAACAATCCACAGGTAATACGAAAATTAATAGAGAGATGAAAGGTTGGCAATTTTTCAACCTTATATATTTTTTGGGCCTCAAACAGAAATAGGGCTGGCCATTTTTTTCAACCCCATGGAAATGGTGCATAACATGCTGTTCTTTTTGATGCATGGTCAAGACCATCAATTGTGGTGGTGCCACACTATGTGTATGGGTTCCACATTTCTATAGAGTGTGCCGAGGGTTTGCACTTTTAGTGCTTTTCATCTAGACCTTCGATCACTGTACAAATAGTGAAGCTCTGTGCACCAGAGAGATAGCATATCCAACATTAGTAAGCCTGTATTTAGCTAGTATTTATGAAGTGTGTTTTTGTCCATCTTTTACTGCCATTCTTTTTCGTGACATACACAGTGTGCTGCTACTCTGTGTGAACATGTCTGTCTATATCATTGCTAGCTTACTGATTGGCTTGTAAATGTAGCTGATCTTTCTGCACGTGCACCTACTTTAGGAAAGCAACTTATTTCTTCTCATAGTCAGTGTAGCCAGTCCAATTATGATCATGGGAGCTTTTCACTGAGTGGTGAATATGCCTGAATCAACACTCAGTAGTTAACAAAGTGCGCCCTTGTTTTAATCTCGCTATCCCAGTCATGCTTGGGACCTGCAAAAGTGGCTGGATTCGTGAAGTGGCTGGTTCTCAGGGAAACCTCACTATAATAATAATTATTGTAGCTAATCAATCCGCTCCAAAGCCATTGCCTGTTTCAGCAAAGGTGGCTGCATTTTTTCAGAGGCTTGGATTAGCGAGGTTCCACTGTATATACCTTAGCACATATAACAACAACAACCAGCTGGGCAGTTGCAGTTTGCGAGAGTTTTTGTTTGAAGAACTGGGTAGAAAACATGTGCCTGCTTATGGGTACAGGTATAAACAAGTTCTGTATAATTATATGGAGAAGTAAAATTCCTGGAAAATCCTAAAGTTTGTTTCCACACCTACAATTAACATGGTGTCAGTTTGTTTCGGTAGGCTTGTGTTCAAAGCTAAACTAATATTCCTGCGCCTGTTCTTCCCACCTTCTGTTGACACCTTCAAACTTACAACTTTTAACTGTCATGAGGTTTGTCTGTACAAGGCTCAAGTATAATTGGTAAACCCACTCTTCCCACCACCAACTCCAAAGTTGTGTCAACACCTTGAAAGAGATTGCTTTTGAAGCTGTCAGGAGGACTGGTCAAAGCTAAGATTAAGATTCCCAAGAATGTGGTTATTACATGCTCAAACAAAAACCACTATTGACAAATTATCTCTATATAAGTGGCCGTGGGCAACAAGACTAAGATTAAATTCGTGGCATGTCTTTCAAAAGCAAGAGGGACTAGTCCCAAAAGAACACTCCCTTGGAACACATCCAACCAAACCACTCTGTAGTGTGATATGATGCGTGTCCATATCCTGCCTGGAGATGATTTGATAAAAAATTTTATAATAGACTCACCTTATAAAAAGGAGACTATTGTTGAGCCAAAGCCGAACGCTGTGACTAAAACCGTCCTTCAACAGCCTACAGCCTTGAGACTCAGATAAAGAGCAAAAATAATAGACTCGCACCTTAGAAATAGGAGACTATTGTTGAGCGAAGACCGAACTCTGTGACTAAAACCACCCTTGAACAGGTTAGTACTCTTTTGAGGTATAATGTATAGCTAGGTACAAAATAATATCTGCTGCAGAAATATATACAATGAAGCTGCACAGAGGAGTGGCAAGTGCTCTACTTTTGTTGCTGCATTTCAGCGTTTGCTTATCTTCCAACGAACCGAAAAATGAAACATTATTTGAAGGAGCAGATACATCATTGTGTGAAGCAGAAACATGCCGCGTTTCTCCGGATGACTTCTGGCAGTTGCAAGAAATGATTGGCTCAAACAAGCACATCGTGCTGAATGGAGTAGAATTCCGTGTATACGGCAGTAATGGTTTCATAGTCATTGAGAATGTGTCCAACTTGACGATTTCTGGTGGAGAAAGTGGCAGTCTTATTGAGTGCTCCCCGCATTCGACCTTTGGCCTCCACCTCAAGAATACAACCAATGTCACTCTGACCAGACTTAGGATCAGAAATTGTGGTTCTGCCATCCCAAACAACTTCATCTTCCAGTACGTCAGTTTCTCATGCTCTTCGCAGGTCCCTGTTCCAAGTCCACCAACATTAGACAACACCCAAACTTGTCTTCTTATCGAGGACTCGAGGGATACGACTCTGTCAAAAATTGACGTTGAACATTCTCCGGCTCTTACAGTGACCGTCGTTGATTTCCCAACCGATGAGCCTATGGACACTGTGTACCCTAACCTGAGACTGACGGATTGCACCATAACTCATAGTGGAATAGGGGCTATGATGATATATGGGCCAAGATCCGTGCTAGTTGAGAGGTCTGTGTTTTCCAACAGTACCACCGGGATTGTGTCATATTATGCAGACCTAACCGTAAAGAATGTCGATGTCATTAACTGCAAATCTTCGTACCTGGGAAACGGACAAGGAATGGTGAGAGAGAGACTTACAATGAATCACAGCTCGCTCTACATTCGACAACATGACCTTCACTTTTACGGTGCTCAAGTCCTTTTCTTTGGTGAAAATTTACATCTCCAAATTTGTCGTAGCAGTCGGATATCCATTTCAGAGAAGTCTGTGGTTGTGTTCACAAACCCTAACCTGACCTTACCCTCCATTGATATGTGGTATTCCACCATTCAACTCAATAATTCTACGCTGATTTTCACAGAGAATGCAGCCAGTGGTATCCCGCTATATGACATGTTTGCTATGACTAGTAGCCAGATGGACATGACTAATCAATCTTCTGTGCTCATTACCAAAAGCTTGCTCACACACTATGGAACAGTTTTACGTGTAACCGGCAGCTCGTGGAGAATGGCCCAATACTGTCATCTTTCACTGACTGACAACGTTGGATTCTTCCTCTTGAGCTTTTCCAACTTTTCATCAGGTGGACTAGTGAGAGTAGCAAACAACAGTAACATCAATGGAGCTCTGCAAATAGTGTATTCAGGGGTACGCTTTGGTAGACTAGAGGTGGCAGGAAACAGAGCGGATGGAGCAGGAGGAGGAATGACTGTAGCCAACAGTGAACTCTTTCTGACTGCCGCGACCACCTTCTCTGATAATCTCGCACTGAATGGAGGAGCACTGAGCCTCGTTTCTTCTGTGGTGCACATTTCCCCAAGTGCTGCCGTTAATTTCACTCGAAATTCCGCCTATGGAGTCGGTGGTGCAATATTTGTCTCCAATCAGAGACCGAGGTACACGTGTTTCAGTACGTCGGTCTCTTGCTCCATTCAAGCCCTGCTGGATGACTCTGCACACAGTTGCCAGTTGTTCTCCGTCACTTTCAACCAGAACAGAGCAGGCATAGCCGGGAATGCCATCTATGGAGGCCGCAAGGCACCTACTTGTATACCCACAAACAGAGATGAGACTTGCTACAGTTGCCCTCCCCCTGACATCACCGACATATTCACATACAATGGAGTGAACGACTCCTCAGATCTCTCCAGTTTCACTTCTGACGCCACCAGAGTCTGCTTCTGTGAGGACGGCATTCCAGACTGCTACGAGGTCAATAAAAACGTTACGGTCCACCCTGGAGAGCATTTCAACCTCTCTCTAGTTATAGTGGGGTATGGTTTGGGCACCGTTCAAGGCTCGGTGTTTGCGAGGGGTAGGCTGAGTACCTCGGTGGACGATGGCTATTCCTGGAGGGATTTGGAGTTGGAGTACTCCCAAGAGATACCAGGGTTGGAGTGTCAGGATGTGGAGTACTCCATCGCATCCGAGAGAGATGCAGAACAGATTGCTCTAGCAGTGAGCACAGAGTCATTTTTGGTGAAACCCGGGGAAGCTCATGGGGTGGTTGATTCAGTACAACATTTGCCTTTTTATTCAGACGCCTTTGAGGCATTTTCCCACATGCCTGTATACGTGGCTCTGACTCTCCTGCCATGTCCAGTTGGTTTCCAACTGGTGAGAGGGAGATGTATCTGTCACAAGATATTGCTGGACAACAACATTGACACTTGCTCCTTTTACAATGGCACAGTTCTCATCCCGAGACCAGCCTCCTACTGGATCGGACTACCCAATGACACAAACTCGTCCATCCTCATTCACCCTCATTGCCCCTTTGATTACTGCCAATCACAAGACATGAACATCAATGAAGAAACTTACGACAATCAATGCCAGCACCAGCGATCAGGAGTCCTGTGTGGCAGCTGTCGCGAGGGTCTCAGCATGATCCTGGGATCCTCAGAGTGTAAGACCTGCTCCAATGTCTACCTCGTGTCTATCACTGTCTTCATTGTGATGGGTGTGGCTCTGGTTGCACTAGTGACTCTCCTGAACATGACAGTGTCAATTGGGACACTGAATGGACTAATTCTCTTTGCCAACTTCTTGCAAGCCAACAAAACTGCATTTTTACCTCCAATTACATCTGGTTCTAGTGCCCTCATTGCTTTCCTGAGTGCCTTCATAGCATGGCTGAACCTGGATCTGGGCATCCCCATGTGCTTCTTTGATGGACTGACAACCTATGTCAAAACATGGCTACAGTTTGTGTTTCCTCTCTACATTCTGGCATTGGTTGGTGCCATAATAATTGCCAGCAACTACTCCACGCGAGTGACTCGGCTTCTCGGGACCAATGCAGTCTCAGTTCTGGCCACTCTAGTCCTTCTCTCCTACACCAAGATCCTGAGAATCCTCATCACAGCCTTCTCCTTCACCACACTCACTGGTTCACAGGGCTACCACAATGTGGTGTGGCTGGCCGACGGTAACATCAAGTACTTTGATCTCAAACACACCATTCTCTTCTTAGTTGCACTTCTAGTGCTCCTGCTATTGGGAGTACCCTATACAGTCACTCTGACTGCTGCTCCCTGGATACAGAGATCAAGGTTCAAGTGGGTGTCCTCTCTGTACAACAGGTTCAAGCCTCTGCTTGATGCATACATGGGTCCATACAAAGACAGCCATCGCTACTGGACAGGAATGCTGCTGCTAGCGAGAGTGGTTCTGATAGTCCTGTTCTCCAGCATTGCCAACACCAACACAGTGGCCGGTCCTCAACTGAATCTCCTTCTTCTGATCCTCTCATCTTCTGCCCTGCTTGGTCTCACTGCATACCTCAAACCATACAAGAATAAGCTGTTGAATGGACTGGAGATATTCCACCTGGCAACCTTGCTCAGCCTCTCCTCCTCCAATCTCTATGTCTCCAGGATTGGTACTGGAACTGGACCACGTGCCGGTATCTACATAGTCCTTGTGGGGATCTGTTTCCTTGTGTTCTTGGGAATCTGTGCGGGCCACGTCTGGTGTAAAGGACGAGCGTTTCCAACAAGAAGGAGGCCAGAACCACCAGTAAAAGAGGAAGAGGAGCGATACCCCAAGTGGCAGAGAGCCAGGGTCAGAGCCGAGGATGAGCAGGATGAAGAGAGAGAAGAGGTCACAGCTCGCACTACCGTAGATGGAGGGACAAACGATTCGTGTTTCAGGGAGTCAGCTCTTGATCTGGCAAGCCTCTAGTGACTGCAGAGCCATGGCTAGTGACGTAATGTGCTCGTATTGGACCCATGCATGCATACTCAATAATCTTACTCATGGTAGCTATTTCTTAAAGATCACTTCGTGATCGTCTTCGTAAGTCAATATTGATAGTATAAATCATATACTTTCTCTCTAGACTAACTCCCTAAACTTGAGCTATGTGTATTGTGTACAATTCACTGATTTGATTATTGTGTATTTAATTTGTATGGTGTATTATTCACTGATTCGATTATTGATTATTAAATTCTTTAGAGCCAAGCTCGAGTATTTGGACAATCGTCCAAATTACAATTATGTTAATGGTTGGTGTACATAGAGTACTCCATGCTCGGGTATGTTAGCACCTGTGCAGGTTCTTGCTATAATAGGACTTTCTGCCACACAACATAAATTTTAGAGACAGGGACACACGAATAATATTAGCACACATAAAGTGCAAACCCTCGGTGAAATGCGCATGCGTGGTACCGAAGCAACAGTGATAGTGCAGGCTGAAAAAGGAAACGGAGCATGCAAACACGAATGTTTGTTTCTGCTCCTGTGAACTTACTCGCGGTCTCCCGCTAGTAGCTCGCGGAGAGTCTGACACGGGCTAGCTACACTTCTTGACTTCTTGCGCCTTCAAGATCCACAGAGCAAGCGGACTCGGTCGAGGTGTGAGTGTATCTAACTTGTTTCTGCACTGCCATACCTCCTTCTAGCTGTAACTGGTTACTGCACTTTAACCTATGGCCCTGCTGTGCAAGTAACACGTGGTTAGCACATGCTTGCTGACACAGCACAACCTTCGCACATTTTGTGTCTGTAGCTTCCTTATCAGAGGAGGAGGAGGACAAGTCCTTACATGAAATTCTTTTCTCAAACCCAGTAGGCTTCAGCAAAGTGACTGAAGGTACTTTACCGTGTGAGATTTTTATTTTGTAAATGACTTCAACTATTCTCTCCAGTGACAGTGAAATTATGTTGTCAGGGAATTACACCAGTCCCACTAAGGTCCTTGTTCGAATACCGTGATGGCACTCGACTACTTTTTGAAGAAGATGACAAAGAACAGCTAGAGCCCCTGAGGCAGCAGATTACTCAACAGTTTGGTTTAGCAGAAACAGCTGTAGACCCTGGGCAGTCAATGGAAATACACAAAGAGCCAACGGCCAAGGCGCCATTGAGGGCCTTCCTGGTGGGCCTAAGCCCTGTAAGAGGCTTTTTAGACAGGGTGATTTTTTCAGATGAGGTGCAAGTTACCTTGCCTCGTGGTGTTGGAGGACCACATGGTAAATTAGACCTGCTCATTGGGTCCAAGACCAAGGCGGCTGAAAACTGTTTTGTAACTGTTGCCTATGCAATAAGCATTGCAGATCCAGTCCTTGGTGAGAGTAAAAAAGAGGGCTCAGCACTGGCAAAAAGTAGAAAGAAGGAGCTAGAAATACAAACAGTAGTGCAACCTGTTCCCAGATAGTTAACAGCGGAGAAAACGAGAATCAACCAAATCTGCTGTTTTATGGGAGCAAAAAGGCGATTAGACCTTTTTTGGAAAAAGACATACTTCTAACTACTGAAAGTGACTTTTCATGGAGGGAGGACAGAGGTTTAAACATCAGGGGGGCCAGCGCTGTGGCACTGCTGCTGCAAACCAGCAAGGAAGCTAGGTACAGGTGCCGGCAGAGGGTTACTACTGCACTGGAGGAGCTGAACTATCCACCTACTGGATTTAAGCAGGCATGAAAGCTGCTGGAGGTGATTTAACTAAGAGCACCCTACAAGCTACGGGAATACCAACAACACTAGCACGAGAAAGGGAGCAGCAAAACAAATGTGGTGAAGAGCAGGAAGCGAAATATTTTGAAAGGTTTGAGAATGTTTTCTCTAAAACTTCCTGAAAAAAGACTTGACTTCTACTGTAAAACTTACTGTTCTTTCTCCTAATGTATGTTTACATGGAGTATATTTGTGTGTGTGTGTGTGTGTGACTGTACCGAACTTTCTCTGACTACATCTTTACAGGAGATAGAAGGAGTGCAGGGTGCTATATGCACTAGTTTGATGAGGTTCAAGCACATCGAACCTCATCGAACCTTCTCGAACTACATCCTCACAGAGATAGCAACGTATATAGAGTTCTTTTACACGAGTTCGGGGTGGTTCGACTGTACCGAACCTTCTCCAACTACATCTCTTCAGGGGATACAAGGTGTGCAGGTTGCTTGTGCACTAGTTCGGGGTGGTTCAAGCACATCGAACCTCTTCTGAACCTTCTCAAACTACATCTTCACAGAGACCTCACAGAGATATAGCAAGGTTCTTTTACACAAGTTCGTGGTGGTTCAACTGGACTGAACCTTCTCTGACTACATCATTACAGGGGATAGAAGGAGTGCAGGGTGCTATATGCACTAGTTCGATGAGGTTCAAGCACATCGAACCTCATCAAACCTGTGCTAATTTGCATATTAGCTTGTTCACTTGTTTTGTATAATCCACAGCTAGCCGGTATCCGCGTGCGCATGCGCAGTTACAGACATGCATAGCGTACGTGCGCGCCCGTCGTATAAATTCAGCAGAAGTGTGGCTTGAGGAGGTTTTGTTCACGGAGTTTTTACCACCTCAGTGGAGAGAGAAGGCACTACTATTGATTCAATAATGGAATCATCACGGAGTTTCAAGGCAAGTTCACAGGAGCAGAAACAAACATTCGTGTTATGCATGCTCCGTTTCCTTTTTCAGCCTGCACTATCACTGTTGCTGGGTACTGGTCTACTGCTCCTAATGGTGGAAGAGCTGTCGGCAGGTAATCATAGGAATCATGAGGGTGCCAGATGCCCAGCTCCACAGTATCCAGCCAATGTCAAAGTTTTGATGGATAGCTGGCATCAACCACTTCTGCCAGCAGAAGATGAGGGTAGCGCATCTGCAAGCTGGACTACTAATAATGGAACCAATCATGTGAGCCCCATTCATAGTCAGGCAAATGCCGCCGAATGCATGAATCAGCTGCAGATGTCAATGCAAGCAATTGGTTTTTTTTTTGGGGAGCGCTTAAATCCATTAGAGTGATTTTAGCCAATAAGAATGACCACTTACCAGACTGTTCTGCTCACCACAGCAATTTCTATAATTGTAGATGTAAAATTAGGGCTCAGCGATATATTATTTGTTAACTCAGGGAGCATGTGGAGAAAGTTCAGTCTCACTATGCTCTGAGGAGTCTGGAGTACAGCAGTTAAACACCGGGCTTATCCTCAAGACGCTTTCGGCATATCCAGTCAGGATCTTTGTGAACATAACGTATTCCTTCGTACAATGTCCATGGCAAACCTGCAGTGGTGACTTAGAGCTAGAAATGATTACTTCTAAAGCCAATGAAGGAAGCAACTTTGATGTTAGAGGGAAAAAAACCTGCGAAGACAACCACATCGGAATCCCCATCAAAATCCCCAGCGACCCCAGCGCCCCCAGCGGAGACTCCAGCGAAAGCAATCCCGGCACCCGCACTTCAGGACGTAGAGATGCTATAATACAAGTTAATCGTATACAAAACACCAGCGAAATGTCCAATGGTACTAAACAATTGTACTTTGATTTTAAGACGCCAGTTGCAACTCAATTTTCCTTGGCAATAAGAGGTGTCCGTACGTGTGTCACCGTGTCTCGTGTGTTGGTCTATCAATATCAATGTCCCAGACTATCAAATACCTGCGGTCACGCCACGCAGCAGGCCCCCACGAGTGGCGCAGTGGTGGTCGGTTCAAACTGTGCCGAGAGTTATTATTTCTCCAGCATTGCTGCCTCAGACTCTTTGATGTGTACATCAGAGGGAAAATGGCTTACTTGCGAGTACTTTGAAGACGATGAAGAAGTCACTTGTAAAGGTAAACTGACCACCATCCTAGTTTTTTTTTGGTGTTATGTTGTTGTTTGTGTATCAAGAGAGCAAGTCAGTTCCGGGAGTCAGTCAGCCCTCTGCTCCAAGTCAGCCTCACCCTCATGTCCTACACTCCTCCCATACACCTCTCCCTGCTAGCGATCAGAGAGGTGCTCTGAGTGGTGGCGCAACAGTTGAAGACCGCGATTGTCAGTCGCCGACTGCACTCCTGGCCACTGTGGCTGTTCTGATTGCCATCATATTAGCTCTTGTACTGACTGTAGTAGCTCTCACAATATCCATGATGAACACACACATAAAGTTCAGGCCAGACAAGAGGTGTGCACACCTACAACCTAGTTGAAGTAAAAACAGTCTTATGTGGTATTATGATTCTCCTGCTACAGTGGAAGTGTGTTGACCGAGCCTGTTTATCCAGTGGCTGATAGCAAAGAACCTTCCATCAGGTATAATAATCACTAGCAAAGTACGATAGCATCATAAATGGTGTTTTGTTAATGAGGAATCGGTAGAAGTAGCTATAATTATACTAACACTATCACTGCCTTGTTTGTCTGCAGTAGTGCTGGAATAACTGACCTGGAACCGGATAATGTAAACTGACTGTAAGTTTCTGGCAACTCTTGAAAAAATAGTACATGTATTAGCTCTTATCTTCTTTTTTGCAGCCACACCTTTGAAAACATGTGCTGCTATAATTATTGTTGATCCCTGCTTTTATAAAATACATCCCACTGCTGAAACACTTGGACTCATATTGTAGTTTTAAAAAACTCCCGTAGCTATAATATTTCTTTTAGTTGTGTGTATACTCATTACGGTGTGTCCTCAGTGAAACTTGTAATTTTTACCATGAAGCAACTGAAACTGATGGCATGACCTTTTGTTTTTATTGATTCCCATAAAATTAACATTTCACAAAATTCACAAAAGGAAGCACAGTAGCGAGAATGTATATCAAGTGGCACAGTTATGATTTTGGCTATGAGTCTGGAGTTCTATGAAGGGATGGGAAAGGTCTCGATGATGGAGTAAGAGGCCCGAGTGGGGTACGTCTGGGGGTCAGAGTACCCCGACTGCTGGAGTAAGAAAAACAGTTCCTCTTCTGTCCTCAGACGAGAGTGCGAGGGATGGAATGACATCATCGTCAGGTCCAGGAGACTTTTGAGCTGTGGTGGGTCAAGAGGGAAGAGAATCGACAGAGGAGAGGGAGAATTAGACTATAACATTCTAGTGCTGATAAAACACCACTGAAAAAAGGAACTCTTTAAGACGGACAATATCCTTTCTTCCCCAAGACCAACTTCTGAAACTCGCCAATAAGGGCACTTTTCTTTGCTCAATTGGTGTCCTGATTAGAGGGGTTCCACCGTTTACATACATCATGTGAAAAAACAACAGACATAGAATGACAAGAAAAATCGCAAGTTACTTCTTCCTCCATAAAGCACTAATCGGCCCCATGTAAGAGCTATGATTAACAGGGGCTTACCCGTTCCTCAGAGTAGCTGCCAATGTGCATGATGGTCTCAATGAGCAGTAGTCTGTGGCCAGAGTCCATGACGGAGTGGAGGTTCCTGAGGATGAGGGCAGCGTCCTCGTCTGACCAGTTCTGGAGGATGTCCTTCATTATGTAGCAGTCACACCTGCACCACAACAGAAGGGCACTATCATTATTAGTATTTCAGAGGGTTTCGGTCAATGAACATGACAAATATACTTCCATGGGGTAGCCCCTCGCAATCAGCACCCGGAGTCCTCTCACATTCAACCATGTCATAGTCCTATCAATACTCTCTAGAAAATGGCTAATAGTATATACCATGGTTTAAATAAATAAAAAAATAGTGTTCTCTCTTAACACTTAACCAGCCACCGACACACAAATGGGTCCAGAGCCTCCATAAGTCCATAAGAATTTATATTGGGGTTATAATACCAGGCGCTAATACTTTATACAGCTTATTTAAGGAGATCCCCATGCCATCCAAAGGGTTAGGTTTATTGTAGCTACACAAATTTCGAGGACTCACCCAAACTTGGGCAGTTTCTCAGTAAAGTTTCCCGGGACGAGAGCGATCTTGTTACTGGCTCCTCGCTTTGCCATGAACGACCTGGACAAATTCAATGTGTAGAACTTTAAACCACACCTCCACATTATACACTTGATGAGGAAACAACCAACCACCTCATAGCATTAGGGATAGCAATATTAATGAACGTTTTTTAAGGCGAGGAAATAGCACCACACAGGCAGTAAAATTATAAAGATGGAGCTAAATAATAGGGTCTACTGCAAGAATGCGAGCCATTACGTTTCCGTTTTCAGCAACAGTTATATGGTGTATGTTCGTTTGTTAACGGTTCCGCCCATTGCTCTGGGTGCGTGGTCTATGGCCCTAGTGCTATGGCAGCCACCTGAGTATTATTTTAAATTTAGCCCTGCCACATTTCCATTATGCAACAAATGCTGTAAAACCGTTTGGTGTTTCATTCCTACATACCTGCCAGTGTCAATGACATGCGGAAGGTCAAAGTTGGTCCCCTTGATGTCGAAAGAGTAGTAATTGAGAAGGTCGTAAATGAAGGACCCCACCCCACCTCCAATGTCACAGATGTGGTGACACGAACTGAAGGAGGGATAGTCGGCAATAATTGCAGGGGCATGTAGTCGAGAGAAGTCAGTCAGTCCGAGTGAAAATATCTGAGGACCAACAAGAGAAGGCTTTATCACCGAAGTACGAGGGAAGTAGTACTTAAAAGCTGCTAATTTATCCATTCAGCAACTTTTATGAATTTCGCACAAAAACAATTTTACTGTGTGTATAGTCGTGGAACAAGAGGCACAGAGCATCTAGTGTATCACACCGCACAATAGGGGTAGACAAGAATGCCATACAAGTGTGACATCTGACCTCTCTGAGCTGCTCGTCTTTGGGCAGGTACTCGGCCAGTTCCTCTCTAAATGTCTCCTTGAACCCAGACAGCCCGGAGAACATGCTGCGAGACAGGGCCGTGCTCACTATCAACGCCTCGTCCCCCGAATAGAGCTTCACAAACTCCTTCAGACTTCTCGGGTGGGATGATACAAGGTACTCGCTGAGAGGGGTGAGCGAGTACTTGTCCTCCCCGGCCTCTCGTAAGAGGTCAAAGTGCGCGGCGGCGTGCAGTACGCGACAGAGGAACGGGAGGTTGACCGGTTCGGAGCCGAACTTCTTGTCCACTCTGGATTTGATTTCGTGACATGACAGGGGTTCCCCCGCCTTGTTAATTATGTCTGGGATCTCAAAGTAGCTGAGTATGTAGAGGGCGCGGGACTCGATGTGTTGGAGCGCCATGGTGATGATACGGACGTGGTGCGGCTTTACATGCTGACCCCAGTGTTCGAAAGTTTGCCAAACACGAGAGTTGAGACGATAGAGCGGCCAGTTCGGGAGGTCGGTGGGCGGAGCCACGCTCACGTACGCGATAAACACCGAGGCCACTCCGATCGCCACGACAACGTGCACGAGACGGATTCGAGATGGGAGGGACTTGAGAGTTTGAACGAGGGGTTTCTGAGAGCGTTGATTGCGGCCTGGGGCAATGGTGGACCCCGCTCCGGTGTTGGCTTCTCCGTTGGCTATCATTATTCACCTGCTGGGAACAGTGTCGATTAGGGCAGGGGGAAAATCAAAGAGGGTTATAATTATGGATCCAAATACGGGGGAAATCAATTATGGATCCAAATACAGAAAACAATTTGTTCTTCACCTGGGAAATTGTCGTGCAGGGAAAGTGGAAAATCAACCAAAAACTATAGATCCAAGCATGGCTTTTGAGATAGTGTGCAAAGTTATAGTCCCACTGGCCAGGAGAGGGTTTAGGTAGAAGACCACAATGAATTATGTAGTTACCTACTGGCTGGTTTGATTACCATTATCCATAATTTGTCATAGAGACAAGATACATACCTGATCTCTTGAGCTGATTCACACTGCGTTCTGCGGACAAAAGAACAATGAATTCTAAATGGAGCGCACCTAAGCAAAGAGTGACGTCACGGATCAGGGAAATCCCCTGTCCTAGGGGACTTTTCGTGGGGCGGTGTCTTCCCTCCTCATCTCCTGTTTTCCCTGCAGCGGATAAATTTTCACTTTCGCCATCCTTTTGAGAGCGGTCTACAAAAGAAGGCGATTCGGCATCGATCTTGAACCTTTACTGCAGCCACGTTGGGCCGGAAACGTCTCTCTTTACAGTAAAGCGCGCAGGGAAAGTGACTCACAGTGTGTGGATATCCCTGTGGTCATATTGGGGCTTGTTGGTGCTACTGATAGGTCGGGTGGCAGGCGTCCAGCAGCGTGACAGAGTTTACGGAGCTCCCCACGTGCGTCGCAGTGAAAGACAGAAGAAGACGTGGTTGACTTGTAACAATGGCAACTGGAGGAGGGACGGGAGGGGCGCAGGTGTGCCCTCTGTGTAACGTCGTTGTGGAAGGCGGGGACCAGCTTCAGCTGCACTACCTCACGAGCTGTGCTGGGTATGACCTGGGTAAGTCAGCAGCGGGGACTGCAGAGTAGGTGAGAGAGAAGGAGAGGGAGAGAAGGAAGGAGGCGACATTGATTAAATCACAACTTGTATATATACATGGTGGCTTATTAACTGCAATTAAAATTTTTACTCCCCAAAGTATTCTGTTATTAAGCAATGTGTCCTGGCCTCAGGTGGTGCGGGAGTGGGTGGGGACAGCAGGGGAAAGTCCCCCAAGCCCTCGCCGCCCCCGACAACGGTGGTGGCGACAGCATCGGCTGGTGGTGCGACTCCGGGAGGGACAGCCCCTGGTAATCAGGTCCTCGTTCAGTTCATGTGGCAGCCACTCACACAGATGAGCTACCCAAAAGTCACCCTCCTTACTTCCTTAGGGGTACGTGTACATATTACGTATGTAGCACAGTCATCGGTTGAGGTTTGCCTTTGTCTTGTGTGTTGTTATTAAGATTGAGCCTTGCGCGTGCTGAGCTGCCCTGCTAGGTCAGTGACTAGAGTCCTTTGCCTAGACTGCAGAGTGTCGTGAGTTGAAATATCCTATATACCCAGGGCAGCTCTGTAAAAACAAAGAGTTGTCCAGCCGTGTGTAGGTGTAGACATGTGAGCTCTTACTATAGGGCCTGATTATCACTAAGTACAGTACTTGTCAATTCTTCCCCATGTAGTAAATTGCAAGACACACTAATTATGTATCCCCCCCACACCCACACACCCACACCCACACCCACACACCCGCACACACACACACACACACACACACACACACACACCCACACACACACACACGGGCCCTGTAGTCAGGGAGTATAGACCTAACGATAGAGCCAGAGGGAGGTCACTACTGCAGTGAGTGGGTCGCAGTCTCCAGCGGCACATACGAAGGCCAGCTTGTGGTCGGAGACAGTTTCATCAATCCCGTCAAGGCATTCTCCGTTGGCCCCGCGGAGGAGCAGATTGTGGTTCTTGAGTTTGAAGTTTCGTCTGACAAGGGTTTTGATACTGGTGCTGGAGGTACTGTATGTAGTGCATGTGTATACTTGTGTTGGTACTATGATCGTGTGCAAAGAAAGTGCGTAACTGAAATAAAAGTTAAAAAGTTAGGGACGTACATACGTACTAAACTTCGCCGTAATTTGCATTCAGTGTAGTGTGTGTGTGTGTGTGTGTGTGTGTGTGTGAGTTTTCATCAGTGCCACGTAAAGGATTGGCAATGAGCAGTATTTGTATGACCAACGCGTTAGATGAATGGAAGACATGTGCCTTATTTTCCAATATTTGAGGGACTACATAAACTTCATCAGGAACACGTTCGCCCTTTGCTGTTGTCTACATTACTGTAGCCTATACATGGCATCACATGGTTTTTTCTACATGGATTTCTCTTTCTCTTTCTCCATAGAAGACATGTACATGCAGGAGAACCCCAGCTTCAACCTTCCGTACAGCTACGAGGGAGCCGGAGGAAGCTATCACGACAGGGACTCCCCTTCACATCGTCCGAGACGAGGAAAGGTGGGCGTGGCGGCCGGAGGAGACACCGTCAGTAACTTTGACCACAGACATCACTTCAAGAGTGAGTCTCTTTACAACTTAGCAGTAGAGCTAACCGCGAAAATTCAGATTTTTTTCTGTACATCACATTCGGAAAATGTTTTGAGCTTTGACAAGACTCCCTTCGCAAATTATTGCGGCAAACAAAAATGGCAGAATCTACCACTTAACCGTTGTGTTTTCACTTTGACATCTTAGAGATTAGGAGCACTGATTACTGCTTATAGGATAGTACCACTGTATGGTATTTCATCACATGCACGAGTCTCAGTTTTCAGTTTTACCATGTGTTACTCCACTTTACTCCGCTCGTTACTCCAGATGAACCCAGTTACCTCACTACTCCGCCAGTTTATGCCCACACCCAGACCACGCCCCCTGGGCCTGGTGACCACACCAACTCTCATCGGCTCACGGAGGAAGGGTTTGACCCTGTCGTTGTCAAGACAAAATCTGGAACAACTCGTGAGTTCAGACATAATTGTGGTGTTGAAAAATGCTTCTCTACTACATATGTATACATGAAAGTGAAAATATAAATGTGTAAATATGTTGTGAAGGCAGTTAATTATTACAAGAGTAGACTCTTTTTGAATTAAATTTTCACAGCTACAGCATCGTCAGTGGCGGCTCGTGATGCAGCCTCTAATTACGGCACCTCGACCACTGCTAGCACCGTAACGATAGGGGCAGGGGGTGAGCTGGGGGGAAGAATATCGGACAAAGGTCACCGAACATCCCCTGTGGGTGGAGCTACAGTGATGACATCATCGTCATTGTCGGCAGCTTCAACTGGAGGGTCGGAGTTCGTATTCGGTAGTGGAGACAGGGTTAAATCTAGTCCGCACGTCTCGAGAGAGCACGCGAACCTTGATTGGATTGGGGAGGGGGAGAAGGGAGGGGGAGGGGCATTCGTAACCGGACCACCAATGACAAGGAAGAGGGAGAGAGTGGGAGGAGAGGGGAGGGAGTTTAGCGTGGACTCGCTCCACAACTGCCGGAGCAGCGAGGACGCGGCCGCGAGGGAGTTGGAGGAGGAGATGAAGGAACTGAGGGCTCAGCTGGAGGTGGTGGTGAAGGAAAACCAGAGTCTGAAACAGGACAAGGAGAGAGTGTCCGCTCAGTGGGAGGGGAAGGTGCGACGTCTCAGGAAGAAACTTGGGGGAAAATGTCGGAGGAGAATCTCTGGAGGTTAGTACCAATTTCTATCCTCGTAGTGTATATATTGGCGTGACATCGTGCACGGGGGCAATACGACCTGTACAGTGGAGTCTCATTATAAAGAACACACTTAGTATGAAATTCTGGATACTACAAACACACCCTCGGAGCCTAGCCCCATATAGAACACTGTACATTTTCCGCCACACTTACATGACAAATTCCCCTTACTGTGAACAATTCTTTATAGGTCCCCGCAATTCATTTATAATGAGACTCCACTGTATTGTGTATATTGTATGTAGTGTACTGTGACCCAGCTTTAAGCCTTCTCTCTCTACAGGACGAACGTCTGGCAGACAGACTGGACGAGGCGAGATCTGAACTAGACGTCATGTCTGCCGAGATCACGTCTCTCACAGCCCAGCTCAAGGAGAGAGAGGAAGAAGTGAGGGTGAAGGAGGATCAGCTGAAAGAGATGAAGAACATGAACGCAGCCCTCGAGAATCAGCTCACGGAGTACATGGATGCTCTGGAGCTCCAGAACCAGGTGAAGACCAGTTTGCTCAGCAGAAGAATAAAAGTAGCAAGAAAGTAAATTTTGCCTGGTGAAGATATTGTGGGTATATGTACAATACACATTTATATAAGTGAGAATGCTGTTGTATATCTTGCTCTTGGGTTGTTTGCTCGCAGAGGGGTAGTTGTAAGCTGGAAATGAAAAAGACACCAGTATAACATGTATAATTATATAATTATACAGGGGTAGTTTACTTGTTTGCTTTGCCTTTGCCCTTTGCTGTAGTGTACCTCACCTCCTTGTTGACACATTGTATAATATACATGTCTCAACAACTTGGTAGCGAGGTAGAAAGGCAAGGCAAGGCAAACAAGTCAACTACACCCAGGACAGCTCTTTCTTTTTCAAAGAAAATAAGAATTGCCCTAGGTGGGATTCGAACCCACGACACTCTGCAGTCTAGGCGAGCGCTCTACCAACTGAGCTACCAGGGCAGCTCAAAACTGCTCTCATTGCTCTGTGTGCACGAGTCTGTGGCTTTAGTTACATACTATATATGGGTCGGTCCATCTTGAGTATTGGTGGAATGGTGGTGTTCCTCTGGTGCAGAGTGTAAAGCGTTCGGTGGAGTCTAGTCAGAGGACCAGTGCTGAGGTGGCAGAGTATGAACAACAGATGGCCCAGACGACAGAGTACATGCGTAAACAGCAGCTGGAGTACCAGGTACTATAACATTTATCTGATACCAACCTACATGTACTGGGAATGCAAGCCTGCAATGTGTGCATGTAATACACGTGTGTTGGTGTGTATGTAATAGTACATAGGCAAACTGCAGCTAAAGTACCACCTATATACTTTATCTAATACTGATAGTAGTTGGTAAGTGAAAGCCTGCATGTACTGTACATACACATTCGTCTATGTATGTAATAGTATGTTGTATTCGTATATAATGCAGTTGGAAACTTGGCAGGTAACCCATTAGGGTAGTGTTTTGATTTCTCATGATCAGTTGCCACCACAGATAGTATTGTGGCCCAAATAAACACACAAAACATTACGTTTTCAAGTTGAAGTGTACTTTCTCCTCTCTTCTCTCCCTCTCCTCTCTCCCACTATTCCCCCCACACCCACTCCCAGGAAGCCCTGCAGTCTCTCCAGAAGAAGGTGGGGAGGGCAGAGGAGACGGAGAAGGAGAACCTAAAGATCCACCAGCTGAATCTCAACCTGGCCGGAGAACTGGAAGACTATCGTCACCAGACCAAGACCCTCATGGCCGACCTCCGGGCAAAGGAGGAGGAGATTGCCTCTCTCAGGGAGACCGTTGGGACCAGGGGGCAGCTCAGCAGTGATGTGAGTGTCTCGTACAGTGTGTTAGGAGCGGGTCATGTCTGTGTGTGTGTGTGTGTGTGTGTGTGTGTCTGTGTATCTCTAATGTATGTGTGGGGCATTTTATGTGACCGATATGGGATCACCAACACATGGGCTCATTTAGTAAACCATTCAATGCGCTTTTCATTATACGGATGGTTTTGTCCCTCCTCTATAAATTTCGAAAATAAAGGCCTGAAATGGTACTGATGACAAGTCAGGGTACGAACTTAACAGTTGCAGACTTTTTGTTTAAGAGTGGCCATAATATGTACATTCTTGATCATGTTCTGTATGCCTCCTGTACACAGAGGACTCAGCTGGAGCTGGATTCAATGCAGCAGAAGTGCGACGCCTGGAAAGAGGAGGTGGAGAAACTAAGTCCTCTTCGAGACCAGCTGGCCAGGGCAACTCAGGACAACTCTCAACTGCACCGGGAGGTGGGCAGACTCCGTCAGGACAACTCTAGGCTGGAGGCAGAGTTAGCTAGAGCCTCCGCAGATAACACTGGACTGGCTAGACAACTAGAGGAGACGGAATCAGCACAGGTATATACCAGTATATACACAAAATAGGTTAACTCACCTCACCTAGACCCCAATACAATTGTGAGTAGATGCAACAGGCACAATGTATTCTTGTTTGAAGAAGATTCATGTAGTAGTTGACTTGTTTGCTTTGCCTTTGCCCTTGCTGCCTCACCTCCTTGTTGACATGTGCATGATGGGGGGGGTGGGGGGTGACTTCTGGTTTTTATTTTTTCCTAAAACCTACTTTTTCATCCACATACAGGAGGTGGGTGGCGAGCGAGGGACAAGAGGTGAGTTGGACCGGAAGGTGAGCGACTACGACCAGCTCATGGAGAGAGTCACGGAGCTTCAACAGGTCAGAGTTCAACTGGAGAACGAACTCAGCCCACTGCGGGCAGAGCGAGCCAACATCCTCAGCGAAAACGCAGCTCTACGAGAGGGGTCTAACCCGGACAAGTACCTCCAGCTGAAGACCAACTACAACAAACTGTCGGAGCAGTGTGTTGCTCTTCAGAAGTACCTGACGGACGAGTCGAAAGAGTGCGAACAAATGAGACAAAGACTGGCGGAAGAGAAGGCCATAAACGCGAGGATGGAGGAGGCAAACCATGAGCTGCAGGTACAGTTGGAAGCTACAACAGACGAACGAAGTCTACAAGCAATCCGAGATCGTGTGGAGCGCTACAGGAACGAACGGGACCAGCTGAAAGTGGCGGTGTCCCAATATCAGGAGAGAGACCGGGAACAGCAGGAGACAATCCACAGTATCCAGATGGCTCTGGAAGAAGCAACCGCTCAGAACTCCAACCAAGACTCAACCGGTGTCTGGCAAGATCAGGTAGCTACTCTCACTCTCCACCTCGAAGAATCCAATAAGCGGATGCTCCGTTATCGCGAGGAGCGCAACACGGCAAGGATCATGCACAAGAGTCTCCAGGAGCAGATCAACACACTACAAGCCACCGTTGAACAGTTGCAGAACAGTCGGTCTTATGACACGTACACCAGTGGGCAGCTGGATACAGCTCTTCTAACACGACTCCAACTGACAGACGAAGGCTCCACTGAGCGGCCCACTACAGGAAGTCCACACGAAGATGCCTATTCTCCAGAGGAATATTCAGAGCAAACCGCACAGCAAGGAGGAGGAGGAGGAGGGGAGGGAAGGGGAGGGAGAAGGTCTAGCAAGCAATCTTTTACTAGCACAGCTTCGGGAAGCAGTAGTCACAAGCATGACCGACTGTCTTCTGCCAGTAACAGAAGCTTCAGTCCCAGTGGTGCTACTGCTGAGCTCTACACGGAGGTGACGATGAAGGATGGAGTTACACGGAATCTCGTCATCGAGAGACCAAGACACAAACTGAGCTACAAGTCGAAGCCAGAGGTGATAGTAAAGAGGAAGGGAGGAAAATACGAGACTGGGGTCCTGGCCTATGTTGGGGTGCTGGATGGGAAAGAAATGGCTGGAGTCATTCTGGATTTACCAAGTATGTATGTTACACTATATATTAACTTCATTCACGTTCGTTTAGCAAGCAGATTGCCTGGTTTTGACATACTAGTATTAATAATGATGAACTTTTCTCTTTCTCCAACTTCAGCTGGAAGCAACGACGGTGCATTCAAGGATGGGAGATACTACTTCAGATGGTAAGAGATGTCTATTTTTACACGACTATTATGGAGCAGGTTTTCATATTCCTCTGCAGTACTCCATGCTGTGGGCTCTACTGTCCAATGGGCAACATATATGTCGAGGCAAACTCAGCCACCATTTAAAACAACTTCAAAGAAATGATATTATTATACATATAGATAGCTGCAAGCCTTTTGTGTTTTTCTATTGTTTGTCGTGTATAGCAATTTAAAAAGCGCTCTTTTATGATGTTGTGTACAGTGTTAAAAGTGCTTTTCTTGTTTTCGTTCTTTTGTAACCAAAAAATGGTGTATCAAAAAATGGTGCAAGACAATCGGTGATATAAAAAGTGCAAAGTGCGGAATCAAACGAGAAATTACAAATATCGTAATTTTTTCGATCAACTTGCTGATCGGGCTCTGGGAATGGAGCATTTTTCACACAGTGTCATCAGAGGATGGTTGAGGAACGAGCAGTCCGCGCAGTACCATCTCACTCCTATAAACACAAGGACACACGTCTTGAACATGGTTTAGTTTCATTGTGTGACGCTTATTTGTGAAAGGTACGTAGGCAGGTTTACTCCCCTCCATGCTACTATATACCTCCAGCTGCAACTTTATAGGGCTAGGGCTGTAGATCGCGGCTAAACACATTTACTCTGGGTCAAAGTATTAAAATCCTTTGGACGCCACGGGTATCTGCTTAAAATTGATGTAGTATTAGCGCCCTGTATTATAACCCCCGTATAAATTCTTATGGAGGCTCTGGACACATTTATGTGTCCGTGGCTGGTTAAGTGTTAATAGTATAAATATGGACATGCAAATCTCAGTATACGGGTACACGTGCATGCACTCAGACTGCTGGTTGGTATAATACCTAAAACCCATGTCAGAGTGTGACTGAGAGACTGCCAGGCATAGCAGACTACACTATGTATATACATCCCTCGTGCTAATCTGAGTGTTTGTTCCGTGAATATTCAAAACACATGTAGACACTTTGAATGAAAGCTGAAAGGAGTATCACTAAGTACAGTAGGAGTATATATGTAGTAACCCACACATTGCATGAATGCAAAAGTGTTTTTGGATATTCACGGCTTTACGTACAAAACGTGACTATAAACAACTTGGACACTTGCATGAATGCAAAAGTGTTTTCTGACCTTCATCAGTGTACAAGTCCTGCTCCTCCTTCATTTTACCTACGTATGTACAGCATTATATTTCATGATAAAATACTGTACATTTCTATACTTTATTTATCGTAGATGTAGGATACATGTATATACAACAAGTGAAGGGTAGCAAACCAAGTTCAGCCTAACGACACAACGGACAAGTTTTTCAAAGTGCTATGCCTTGATGGTATACTCAAACCCACAACACTCTGCTTGCTGGGTAGATAGAGCTCTCGTCGTCCTACTAGGCTACTAGAGTAGCTCAGAAGGCAGGGCTTTAAACAACACCAACACAGGAACCTATTATAGCAGGGGTAGGCACGGGTAATTAAACCACCACACAGCTGGACCTCCATTATAATATGAGCTGCAAACAGCAGGTGCAAAGCATAAACAGCACCCAGAACAACACAAGTTAAAGAATGCCCTGGGTGGTAGCTGAACTCTGTGTAATTGCGACACACTGTTTTGTGTGTGTGTGTGTGTGTGTGTGTGTGTTGGACTCACTCTGAACCGTCTGGACCTGCAGGTTGTTTCTGGCCTCCCGAAGATCAATCTCCAGAGTCTGAATCACCTCCTTCAACTCTCCCATCTGCTGCTGCAAGAAACAGACACCACACCACGAGTTATGCTGGCAGAAAAACAATTACTATATAGGAGCTACAGGTATACCGAAAGAAACAAGTATTAGAACAAACACAACTTTTTGTGAGTTAAATATTTCTCAAGTGTATTTAGAAATGCGTAAAGGATTTCAGTATGTGCAGTGCCCATCACAACCTAAATAATTGGAAAATCCAACACAATTCAGATGACTAGGTATATACTAGGCTGGCTATGCTCGCCAAAGATGTGTGCTTCAAGTTCACACTGCTGTGCCAGCACTTGCCAAGAATGCCATGAACAACCGAGCAAATACGTTATTATTAAGTCGATCTAGTGTATCAGCAGAACAGCAGCATTACTCTGTTCTTTGCTAACCCCCAAGAATGCCAAGTATTAACCTCTAATTAGTAGGAGGGTTGGGGAAACCCTCAGTGGGAAGTGTTCAGAGCTAAAACAACCTCGGGAATTAGGTTAGGTGAATGTATAATGTATAATGTAGTAACAGAGCGCTAGTATGGACATGATGCTGGATAACCTGGGTTGTTCCTACATGTATGCTGTTCCAATACAAGCTACAGCGGTTCAGAGGTTCAGTTCAGATTAACAAGTGGATTCATATTGTAGTGTATGGACAGAATTAAAATCTGAATGTTATTCATCTATCTTGTGCATGTATATAGTGTATGGGCAAGACTGATAGATGTAGTGTAGCTTCAGGAAGGAGGTATGGATATGAATGGTGCAGGCATACTGGAGACGGTATGGCAGAGACGTCCATTCTGAGTCTGCTCAACTGGTGTTGGCTGCTCTCCAGTGTCTGTCTCATGTACGTCAGCTGCTGGCGTTGTCCCTCGTGATGCTACATACAATTATACCAAACAAAGAGGGGAAGAAGGGAGTGAGGGAGATGAGGAAGAGGTTGCCTGCTCGCTCTTGTGCATGCCAAAATGCAGTCATGTGTGTTTACTCTCTGAAGGGCTTCCAGCTGTTGCTCCTGAGCTGCGAATATACTGACTACAGCAGTGGGGGAAGAGGGGGGGAAGAGGGAGAAGAGGGGGAAGAGGGGGGGAAGAGGGAGAAGAGGGAGAAGAGGGGGAGCAGCGGGGGAAGAGGGGAGAGAAGAGGGGAGAAGAGGGGGAAGAGGGGAGAGAAGAGGGGAGAGAAGAGGGGGAAGAGGAACATTTTAACAGTTTCCTTTGAGACGACATCTTACGTACCTGCTGTCACGCCAAAGTTGACGTCTCTCTTCCTCGGTAGGGTCAACTGACGGTCGTACACCTGCCTTGTGCTCGCATTGCTATCATACCCACTCCATCTGAAGTCGTGATAACCGATTTCTGCATTAGGAGCTCCAGCTCCACCGTACATATTGTAGTGATCCAAAGGAGGTTGATGGACGTGAGTGTGCGAGCGACGAGGGTTGGGCAAGGTTTGGGAGTATGGGTCCCAGGTGTGCTGTCTTCTGACGGCCCTGTGGTCGTTTTGCAGCGACGGTCGCGGCGGGGGTTGGTGTTGGTAGGCCAACGGTCTCTGTTGGTAGTGGTGTGGCTGCGGTGGCTGGTAGGACTGTGGTTGATGATAGTATGATGGACGAGAGGTTGATACGGTGGGAGTTCTATTGAATTGGTGGAAGAAGGGTTCTACGTCAGGGGAGAGGGGTTGGGGAGTCTGCACACGCAGCTTCTGGTAGCTCTCCTCAATGTTTCCATGGTGCTGGGAGAGAGGAGGGATGGGAGGAGAGAGGAGGAATGGGAGGAGAGAGGAGGGATGTTAGTTCAGCTCTACATACACCCTTTTAGGTGTAATAGTGCATACTACCGCGTAAGATCGCTACTCTACTACGGTGCCTATGTTGCCGTAGCATTATAGGCACATACTGTATGTATAGCAGTGTGTGTTAGCATAATGAGAGAAGAGGTAGATATAGAGGAAAGTAGACAAGAGATAGCGGGGAAAGGGGGAGCAACAGACACACCTCCTAGGTTAACGATAGCACTTGATTAATCGTGGCGTCATTACTTCAATCCATTATGATTGTATGTGTGTTCCACTCACTCAACAAACACATTGGACTTGGAAGATAATGTGTACACACACACACACACACACACCTACATTATAACGTTGGAGTAACAGGCTGATAAGGGACTTTACCACCACATAAGCTCCTCTATCACAGCACTATTACGCGTAGTGTTCACCTAAAAGCAACAAGGCTAGCTACGTAATTAGCGTCTTGCATATTGGCTTTCATGGTAACATCTAGAGCCGGGACAGCGCGGTAGTTGAGACCCACACGCTCACGCTCAAACGGTCAACAGGCGACGGCGAGAAAGAAGTCACAATCGTCTGTTGCGAGTGAGTGGGACCACCACACAGGAGAAGGGCTCACCTCCCTCAGAGAGTGTCTGATGACGTTCGGCGGCACTGTTGGCAGTCGCTTCTGCAGCTCGCGCTCCTGGACCGCGTACGACTCAGAGTGTGAGTCCACCATCTCCCGCTCCTCCCTTCTCTCCAGTATACTCTGCCAGTAGTGAGCAAGTTCTCTTCAGTGACCAGCAGCGAACTTCGCACCCCCATGACGTAACAAGTAAAGGAGAAAATCCCGGATGGATCCTAGCGCCGGGGGGGCGCGGCGCGGCCGGCCGCGCCTCTAGCACAAATGCGCATGCGCGCGAAAGTTCCGGCGCTCGCGGTCGTCCGGTCCGGTATGTAGTTTGGCAAAAAGCGGAGCGTTAGGAAGATCAGTAGAGATTATGGCGGTGCTAATAATTTTGGTCCGAGAAGGGAAATTCCCGTGTCGCTCATGCGCTATAAAATGGGTTAACGGCGCGCGGAGACGTACAAACTATATACCAAATAGCTAACGGTTATACTTGTTTCTTTAGGCTTGGCGTTTTCGTATATACAGCTCGTTCGTCGACGAGAGACCAAGAGCAGCAAGATGCGCCCAATAACTAATATTGCTTTGCGTCGTCCGTTTTTCATTGCTCCGTGCAAAAACGTCGGTGCCTCGGTCGCCAGGAGCAATCGTTATCTGGCCCAATGGAGGAACCACGAGCGGGGATCTCCCCCAGTCCTCACCATTGCCCCCAAGACTTCAAGATCAGCCAACGAGCAAGTCTGGATAAGTGAAGGGCGAAGCATGTCTTAGATGCCTAATCGACCGACAGTTATGTGTCGTTGGGGACATTTACCAGCACATAGTGTTTCCGACGCAGTACACTTTTTAGCTTCTCACCCCCCCACCCTTCCTTGCTTAGTTTGCGCATACCCTTATATACCCATCAGTGAGCAGCACGGATGTCAGGTAAGCAATAAGTGTGGCGTGAAGCATTGAGGTACACCTAATTCCAATAATTATAGTGCGCATACATCAACTGTCAGTAGGCTGTACATGATTACGGTATTGAATACATCGTAGGAACTAGCTCGTACCGTGTTGATCGTCGGACGGCGGACCTGCGATATCGTATGCCTTGAGCTGTCACGACCTGCACACACGAACGAACATTGGCATCGTGTGTCCGGCATCGCAATGGGTCTCACCCACGCCCCATATTCAGACCGGTGTAGTACAGCTAATAAGTAAAGGGGTGGCTACAACAGCCCATTACGGATATTGCCCTGTAGGCGTATACG